TGACACAGCCCAGGGCTGCCTTCTGTGACACCCGTACCTGCACGGAACAGGAAAGCGTTTCCGACGCGGGTGCGAGAAGCAGGACGGGTGCCTGCCGCGGCTCTGTCACTGGTTTTAGACACTTGTCTGCACCGAGCTCTGCTGTGCAGAAAGTCAGGTTAGTTTAGGGCAAAGGCAGATACACTTCGTCTGCTTCTAATTCAGGCAATTTGCAGTTAACTCTCCTCACTGAGCGGCCTGAAACACCAGCCAAATGGGTGGATTCACTTCTTTATTTATGTTTATGCTAGGAGGTTAGAATAGTGGTCTGCCTCTCCACCTGGTTTGCTTCGTTTTCTGCCCTGATGTTTTCAGTGGCATAACTAGCCATTGGACCCCCCCAGAAAGGGAGCAGGTGATGCAAGGCACAGTTGGGGTTGGAGGATGTCACTGACCTGTTCCTAGAGCCTGAAGGTCGTCCTTCTGGCACAGGCACACAGTGGGTGAGACTGCACAGGGTGTGCCCTGGCTGTGATCAAGCAGTGGGACCTCTCAGTCCTGCAGTGCTGTGCTGCCCTGGGACACACGTGCTCCACATCTTCCCCTCTCCAAGCACAGCAGTGCCAATTCCTCTCTCCTGACTCACTCATAGCACACCCTGTGCACACTGCTCGGATCACAGCCACAAGTCACCCTGCAAAGGAACCTTTGTGAAACATCCCTGAGAAATTCAGCTTTAATGACACGGCCAGTGGGATGGAGATTTTCAGAGATTACAGCAAGTCAGCTATCTTACTGGTGATCCCCAGGGCTATTTTAATAAAAAGAATGTATATAAATGATGACATTTAAATTGCTTCCTTCCCAAAGGGCTGCAGAAAGTTTCCCTTTCACTTCCTGTTGGTTCAATACCACTGGAGCAGGCAAAGAGACAGAATAAAGTGCCTCAGCAGAGCACAATTGTTCTGTGTGAGAATAAGGTAAGAGTGTGATAGAAATGAACTCTGAACTCAGGTCATTTCCAGATGTCAGAGTTTGGGGAGGGAAAGCAAAACAAACGGTCTGCCTACATGTAAAATAATCAAGTGGAAAATCTCAGGCCTCCTGTGCTTACCCATGCACAGACAGGTTAGAAGCTAATCCCTGAACAGCTCTTTCAGTAGCTGAATTTCCTTTGTTGCTTTTTAACCTTAACAGCTCTTTAATTACTGTTCTTATTTTCAAATCAAGTATACATCTATGTCATATTAATGAATATTCATTGTCACTGGAGAGGTATTAAATGCATTTTTACCTGAGTTTCCAAGGGAATAGATGCCAGCTGTGTGTGCTATTATCTAATTTCAGCCTGTCCTCAGCGCTGTAATAGTATCAAGACCTCTTAGAGTAGACTCACAGATACATAAAAAAACAATGAATGTTTATTTACTTGCTTTACAGTGGCACTTAAGGATTCCTGCCAAGATCATGGCTCTGCTGCAAGGCTTTTTGCAGACTATGGCACAAGAGGTGGCCTTACTTGACACAGCTGTCACCTGAAATGGAAAACACAGCCAAGTGCTGGAGCAAGGATGTAGCAGTGGAGTATGCGGTCATTTTAGTCTTTTAGTTCCTTGGAGGGTTCTGCCTGATTTTGTTGCCTTTGGTAGCAAGTGAGCACTGTGTGGAGCAGATGGGTCTGTGTTACAGATACCTGTTTTGTGATCATATGGTCTCTGCAGCAGAGGCTGCATAAATCCAGGGAAGGCTTCTTGTTGCAGCTCTCATCATACAACCCCTCCAAGTGCAAATCCACATATAGTTAACCTAAGTGGTGCACTAGGCCCACCAGTATCTTACACTTTCTTACCTACATTCATTCCTTGATAGGCTATAGATGGAGCAGAAGGCTGTCCACTGCTCAGAAAATATCAGGCTGTGCTATAATTTCAACGAGTGTGATTGAATCCCATGCCTCTTAGCTTCTTCTGGCTTCCTGCAAGGGCTGGAATGAGATTCCTCTCATGAAAAATTGTTCTGGCACTAATGCTAGCTGGGCTCCTTTCTCAAAATGTATGAGTCTGTACATGAAGCGTAGATGAAAAATTGGGAGTCTCCTGTGCTCCAGACTAACTGGGATGAGAAAGCATCCCGTTTTCCCATGCCAGCACTCAAAGTGTTTGCCTTCTGAAAGACAGACACCTCTGGGTGCAATTTCCCTCGCTGGTTCCCTCCTATCCCAAGAGATCTAGGCAGCAGCATTTCCCTATTTCTTGTCTATGACACTGATCTAGAAGGGATAAGATCAAGTTCTTGGGTTAGCATAAAAAACCTGGGGAGAAATCCTGTGGGGAAAGTTTTCACTCTGAGCACATACATGAAAGTCCTGGGCATCAGTCCAGAAGAGGGAGGCCAGGAGTTTATAGGTCTGGGAGACGGATCAAAGGAACCTGCAGCAGCCACTTCAGAACAGGAGGAAGACTTAGACAGCTCTAATAAAGACTCTTGGGAATACGTGTCATCACTGGTGCCCTGGCCTTTGAGGGCAGCACTTACCTTGACTCCTGCCAGCTGAGCTTCTGGCTGTCTCCAGACAGTCCCTGTCCAGCTGCAAGTGTGCACATCTGGGGCAGGGTGAAAGCCAGAGGAGCTGCTGGAGGGCAGGCACTGACCTGCAGAGTGCAGGGCCAGGAGCCATCCTGAGCAGCCTGGCTTTGCACTTCCATGTCAGCTGGGAAACCTTGTTGCATGCAACCTCCAGACACACAGCACTGGCCTGTGTGTGGCCATGCCTGTGTAGCACCTAGTCAAAAATCACCCCACCAGCCATTTCCAGATTTCTCTTTGTATTGCCCAAGAGCCAGGAAAAGGATAAGAAAGATGCAGGTATGATATCTTCCTACAAACACGTGAACTAGGGACACAGACTTTGCTCTTCTTCTTTCCTATACCAGCCAGGAAGCCTAGCCGAGAGCTTGGTGCAATAATGATTGCCCTAGAACTGAAATAATAAGTTTCTCTTCCCAAGAAGGAAGAAAAACTGTCTTTTTCTATGGTGTCCAAGACAGCTGCAGCTCCCAGGTGTTTTTATAGCCCATGGCAGGCACAGCTGTGTCTCCCTAGGCACTTCTGGTCTGAGGTTTCTGAACAGGGTTTGGCAAAGCTGATGCCAGCACCCAGATCGCATATAGGGCACTATGAACCAGCTTTCCTGGACCTGCTCCATGGGATTTTTTTGGGGAGAAGTTGTGGTATTTTTTGTTCATTCGTTTATTTGTTTTGTTTGTGATTTTTTTGTTGTTGTTGTTGTTAATTTTTTTTGTCTGTTTTTGTCAGACAAGGGATCACCTCCTGGCTAGAGGTACAGGATGAAACCATGATAATGCTGCAGGGCATTTGTGTGGCTCCACAGGCCACCATCTCCTCCAGTACAAAGGTAGCCTGACTTAAGAGAGGAGCTGTGAAGGCTGAGGAGTGATGCTGCTGTTGGGTGCATCGGCAGTGAGTGCTTGCCATCTGCTGTGAGGCTATCAGCTTGATAGGAGACACTCTTGGATGCAGGAAAAAGACAAAGGCCTGGGCCAGTGGTCCCTGAAGAGCTGGATGGCATTTGGGCTTGCAGAGAGAGCAGGTGGAGTATCCTCTGAGAAGGGTAAACATAAAGCAGTCAGGAAGCTCTGGTCTTGGGCACACGAGGGCTGACAGAACTCACTGCAGGATTTTGACATGCTAACACCCTCCTTGAGCCCTGCTTGGAGGTGCCTGACCTCATTGCAGAGGTGGCAGAAGGCAGTTAGGTGTTTGTGTAACTAATGAATCTCAACTCACTCATTGGTAGCCCTGAGCAGAGCCCTGGTATGGTGACACCTCACATTTCCACAGCACAATTTGCCAGTGTCTGTCAAGCTGTCTGTGTGCTGTTCACAGCATATGCCACTCCTGTCACAGCTTCCCCCCAACTCCCCACAGCACCGAGATGCTGCCCTGCCTTTGACATATTCTCAGGATTCAGCCATTTGTTATGCCACCAGCACATCCAGCCTGACTGGCATGGAACATCCTGCTCCCTGTTGCATCAGCTCCTGGGAACACATGTCCAGCTGAAGAGTCCTCAGTCTTCCCAATGAGATTTCATTAATGTCTAGGAGGATATAATCAGGTTTCCAGCACAAGGTCTTGAAGAGCTGGTCTACTGATAGATGGACTAAACCTTCCTTTGCAGTACAGGTATTGGTACCCCAGGTGCAAGTCATATTACTGCACTGTGAGGTGTTGATTGTACTATCAATAGCAGCATCTGGGCCTGCTATCCCATTGCTGCACTGAGGGAGATGGTGCACAACAGGAACAAAGTCAGGGAAAGCTCTGAAATGTTACTTTCCTGGTATGGAAACCACCACAGGAACTTGACAGTGTATAGACTATGCTCTTGCCCTTTTAATTCAGAAAAATAAGAAACAAAAGTGGCAGCATCAAATGCCTTTAATTCTCTGTATTTCATGATAGAGGAGGCCCAAACTCCTATTAGATATCTAAATATTTCTGGAAGGCAGCATTTTAAACTATAGTTTTTTCTCCCTAGCAGAGTCTGGCTGCAAGCTACACGCAGTGAGCTATTCAGGCACATCCGCAGAAGAAGGGGGGTTGCAGGACCTTCCTTCTCCTGTCTCTGGCTCAAATTGCAGACACATTTCTTCAGTGCAACACCATTTTAAGCAGCATTTCATTCAGGCACTTATTTCCAGCCCTCCTGTACCTACTAGACCATCGGGTCTAAGTGTTATTGTATTTGTGGCAAACAAGATGAGGAAAATGATCCAGGTTAAAATAAATGCAGCAAGACTTTCTCTACAAAGAAGAGTGTCTCAGAAGAATAAGCACAGGCTGTGTGGAGGGGTAGAAGGAAGCAGGAGAGTCCCTTTCTACAGTGTGGACTGGGAAACCTACATTTTGCACTATATCAAAAGTAGAAGAGACTGAATAAAAATCGGGCAGTAGCAACAGGAGAAAGTAGGTCCTGGACTCTGACTTTTTGCATTATTTTTTTTTTTCTGATTGTTCCTATCAATTGTTATTCACATTTGGAGCAGGGATAGAAAAATTGCTTTGACTGAGAGACTATCTCCAAACATCTCTTCCTAAATTCAGCCCAAATTTATGCTCTACTCTTTTCTGATTTCATTGTGTAAGAAACTCCCCAAAGAAGGGCTTCCTTAGGCCATGTTATGTTATATATAAACTTAGTGGAAACAATGAGCTGGGTCTGGAGTGTAGGTTTGTGTGGTTCTCTAGGGATACTCCAGTGAGAAGATGTTCTTTTCCAAGTCTGGTCAGAATCCAATAGCCCCCCAGCAAAAGAGCAAACTTGGAAATTCCACATACACTTCCAGATTGAAGATGCTCAGTAGAGTAACTCTCGTAAGGCTTTCTTCAGTAAATGATGAGGAAGGTTAGAAATAATATCGGTCTAGTAATCCTCTAAAGGGGTCTGCAAAATCTAACCTTTGATTAGTGTCAAGATCTTCAAAATCAGAAGACACACTACCAGTAGCATGCCATGCTCCCCTCCCCGAGCAGTCATGCTTGGCAGCCTCTTGCAGAGCTCCTTGGCTTTAATTTACATATTACTCCATCTAGTGGCCTTAAGGTTCCAGCCTCCAAGAGTTTAAAACTCTGTCCTGGCACCAGCTGGATTTCAAACCTCTGCAGCAGCTTTGCCATCACCACTTTTACCTCCATCTGTTAGGAAGAAAAGCAAACTGTCAGTGACAGCAAATACAGCTGCTTAAAGTCAGTCTGCTATCTTATACTGCCTTGTCAATACAGAGATTTAAAAGTTAAATATTACTCTTTAAATGCAGTCGGTTGAGTTTGGGCAGGAAACCTGTGACTTACTGGATTTGAAGACAACTGACAGGCACTAAGATCAGTCTTTCTGGTTATGTGTTAAACCCATTTTGGAAGTCAGAGTGTAAAACTAAAGCATTCTGAGCACTGGTGCTAAGATGAGGTCACAGTACAGACCCAAAGCACTGGCCTCTGGCTATCCTGAAATGCTCTCTGCCATGCTCAAACTTATTAAATTGTTCCTCCTGTCCATGAAGCACCCTCCTCACCTCCTCTGTGCCAGTTCTGGCTTGTGTCCTCCTAGAGCTTATGTTTTCCTTGCCTTGGTCCTGTCAGTGGCAGCCACAGGATGATCCCCAAGACCCCCTTGCACATCCCCTGTGTGCTTGACTTTAGCAGGCAAAGGAATGTTGACTGTGATTCCATTAAGGGGTTTGGGTTCAAGCAGGCTGAGCCAGGGCAGTTGGGAGGGAGTGCAGCCTGCTGCTTCTCCCTGCAGATACCTTGGTTACATGGATGTCTGCTCTTGTGATAGCATTTGAGAGACATGCCTGTCATGGGCATCGGGGGAAATCTTCCCTCTTAGGAGAAGAGGGTCAGTGCACAGAGCATCAGGGTGGCCTCTGGCTCACCACCACCTATGGTCAGCACACCCTGAGCTGGCCCAGTGCTTGCTAACAAAGTGTTTTTCCAGGCCTCCACTCACCTGTGCAAACACCTGCCCAATGCAGGATCGGGGTCCCAGAGAGAATGGAAAATAGCAGTAATACGGCCTGCAAAGAAAAATGATCAAAACTGTCACTCTGACAACTTGGTTGTAATGAAACAAGCAAATATTTCATCACAGCAGCAAGGAAATGGTCTAAATATCCCCTTGCCTATCAGACTTGTTAAAGTAGTCTCCAAATTAACTCTTCTTTTTGCTTCAGAGCAGCAATATAGCTCAGCAGCATGTTTCCTTGTCATCTCTCCTTACTGTATGGCTCAGCTGCCAGAGCTGTTTTGATGCATGCCAGCCTTATTTCAAAGCTGAATGTCAAGCACCCTCTAACTGCTCTTCAGCCTGTCATGAGGATGTCACAATCCACTCAATTATTGCTCCTTTGGGCGGCTCTGAACCATGTGAGTGGGGGGGTGTTTGGTTTAGGAGACCAGACTAACTCTAGGCTGAAGGAAAACTCCTGACTCATGAAGTAGCTGGTGCTGATTTCTGCATCTGTTTAGTCACTCACTGGTCCCTTCTATTGCTCTCCTGAACACTGACTAGACTTGGGCTGCCTGCCCATGTGCAGCATCTTCTCTCCCTCACCCCCTTCTCCCCTCTCTAATATGGAGACATTTCAAGCACCCTGGGACAAGGGCTGTCACACATTAAATACTTGCATTGTATTAAGGCAAATATTCAACCTGGTTTGGGCCCAAAGCTTTGACCTCATTATAAACATTTAATAATAATAATATTAATATTTTCTTTGTAAGGTAACATGTGGTCTAAAGAACTCTTGAACAAAAGCTGTGCATTATTTCTCTCTATTTACATTTGGATGATTTAGTGTTACTCATACTGGAACGAAAAAATAATTTTATTCTACTTTTCCTTTCCTTGAAATATTTTCCTGTAATGGTTTTTTAATACATATTTAATAACATGAGAGTAAAAAGAAGCTCACTTAGGTGCATCTTTGCTGAATCGATCTGGATCAAAAGTAAGTGGATCCTTGAAAAACTTTTCCATCCTTCCCATTACATAAGCGTTGAGCTGGCAAGAAAGAGTTTATTTTTGTTAGTTAGGAGCAACACACTGAAAATGCCTCTTTGCTGTCAGAGGTATAAAACCATAAATGCCTTCCACTCCCCAGTCCCAACTGACAGTATTAATTCATACCCCAGTTTTAGTCAAAATTTTAGAGAAGTCAGTACAAATATGCCCAGGAAAGATTTTGGCCCTCTCATCCACAGGTCCGTTACATTTCAACAGAATTCACAGAATGACTAGGTTGGAAGAGACCTCCAAGATCATCAAGTCCAACCCATGCCCTAACACCAAAAACTGTATAATGGCACTGATATAGCCACATCCAGTCTTTTTCTAAACACATCCAGGAATGGTGACTCCACTACCTCCCTAGGCAGACTATTCCAGAACTTTATCACTCTTTCCTAAAAAACTTTTTCCTAATATCCAACCTATATTTCCCTTCGCACAGCTTGAGATGGTGTCCTCTCATTCTGTGAGCTGCTCCCTGGAGAAAGAGACCAACCCCACCTGACTACAAACACCTTTCAGGGAGTTGTAGAGAGTGACAAGGTCACCTCTGAGTCTCCTTCTCTCCAGGCTAAACAACCCCTGCTCCCTCAGCCATTCCTCACAGGGCTTGTGTTCCAAGTCCCTCACCAGCCTTGTTGCCCTCTCTGGACCTGCTCAAGCTTCTCAAGGTCCTTCCCAAACTGAGGGGCCAGAACTGGACACAGAACTCAGGTGTGGCCTCACCAGTGCCGAGTACAGGGGAAGAATGACCTCCCTGCTCCTGCTGGACACACCATTCCTGATACAGGCCAGGATGCTGTTGGCCTTCTTGGCCACCAGGGCACACTGCTGGCTCATGTCCAGTCAGCTGTCACAGTGCCCCCAGGTCCCTTTCTGCCTGGGCACTGTCCAGCCACACCATCCCCAGCCTATAGCACTGCAGGGGGTTATTGTGGACAAAATACAGGACTCAACACTTGCATCTATTAAACTTCATCCCATTGGACTCTGCCCATCCATCCAACAATTCCAGGTCTCTCTTCCTTTTTCTCTCTTCCTCCTCCCTTCCAACAGATCAACACATGCTCCCAGCTTAGTGTCATCTGCAAATTTACTGATGAAGGACTCAATACCCTCATCCATGTCATCAATACAAACATTGAACAGGACTGGCCCCAGCACAGCCCCCTGAGGGACACCACTGGTGACAGCACCAGCTGGCAGCTGGATGCAGCACTGTTCACCACCATTCTCTGGCTATCCAGACAGTTCCTAACCCAGCACAGAGTGCTCCTCTCCAAGCCGAGGGCTGCAGCTTTTCCAGGAGTGTGTTGTGGGAGACTGTCAAAGGCCTTGCTGAAGTCCAAATAGACACATCAACAGACTTTCCTGTATCCACCAGGCGGGTCACTTGGTCATAAAAGGAGACCAGGTTGGTCAAACATGACCTACCCCTCCTAAGCCCATGCTGGCTGGGTCTGATCCCCTGGCCATCCTGTACGTGCTGCATGATGACACGCAGTATAAATTGCTCCATTACCTTACTGGGTACTGGGGTCAGGCTGACTGGCCTATAATTACCAGGATCCTCCTTCCTACCCTAATTTGGATTAGCTGGGGCACCTAAAAGCTCCTGATGGTGGATGGGACTCACAAAGACTGTGGTGTTTGCAGGAATTCTGATGCCATTGATGACCTGCTCCTTCTCCAGCCTGCGGAGCGTCCCTGAGACGGGCGGGTACAGCCGCAGCGACTCCTTCAAAACCTGTGTCAGCAGAAAGCACAAGAGTCAGTTAGCTCATACACTGTAGGAAGCAGAAATAAAATTAATTACCTCCCTATGGCCTTTCACTTTAGCTAAATGAGAGATTTTGACTTTCAAAATGGATGCTGGTCTATCTGCCTTGGACTCCTACAGGCAAAATATATAGCTAAGTCAGCTCCTTCAGGCCTGGCTCTTTCTTACAGCTGGTCAAATACAGAGAAAAAGCCACAAAAGCCAGAAGAGATCCTGGAACAGATCTAACACCTCAAGCCAGATGAACAACTGAACAAAAAGCATTAGGAAGAAAACTCAAAGGGAATGTCTAAGAGTGGTCTCCTGCCCCTAATGAGCTGTTCTGGGCACTGGCTGCCATAGGGGTGGGTGATTGCTCCTACCTCCTTCCCACTCTCAGCTCCTCCCTTTGTCCTGCTTCTGCTGCTTGAGGAACTGAGCCAGGTCAGAGCCCCAAAAAGACAAAAACAACCTGGCAAAGGAAAATTAATGGGAATGTTGAGAAAAAAAAATGGAATAAGACCATTTCTTTGGGTGTCAGTGAGCTGTAAGAATGGCTTATTTCATCAAAGGGAAACCTAATTAACAGTGAACATGAGTGTTGCACTGAAAATGCAATTAAAAGTGTGCATGCACAAGAGGACTAATGAAAAAGAAACCTGGACAAAAGGATTCAGAATTGCCCAAACAACAGGAGAGGAGTCCCATAGTCTCTGATACTCCAGTGATGGACTGGCTCTGACCAAGGGTGACTGATTTTGGTTGTACAGATCCAAGCTTGTGCTCTTAAATAAATGGTCTGCTTTGAGAAGCTCTCATGTGATCTGTCTTAAAACTGAAAGGCTTAGATACCTCATCCTAATTGGAGTGGTATAATTGTGATGGTGTTTGGAGAAGCCTAGGAAGCCTGCTGATTTCTGCAATCACATAGGGTTGTCTTTTTCTTATGAGAAATAGACCTGTGAAATCTATCTGCTATCAAAGCACAGTAATTTGTGGGATAGGATATGGCAAATGGTAAAACACTGTTGCTCACCTCAGCAGGGTAGTTTAAAACAAAAAGGATCATGGCAGACTACTAAAATCATGGGGTAATTTATGCAGAACAGCTGCCAGGACTATGATTCAGCCTCTCCTGAGGGCTACTGGTGTCCCCTATCTTGTGAAAAAAGGAAATGTAACACAAACATTGGCTAATAGCCAACCCTGGCTTTGCAGTTAATTACCAACCAGCATTTCCATACACAAGACCTCTTTTAGGACCAAACTCTTCCCCCCACCACCCCTGAGTGACTGAAGAGGGTTTCAATGCTGAATAATGAAAAACTGACATTAGAAAATCCAGCCATTATTTTTGGCTATCCTCAAATTCCACTTTATCGCATATGGTGAGATCATAGCTGGAAATGCTTTAACAACAATCAAACAAAAATAGAGCAGTGAATTAAGACAGTGTGTGGGATTCACACACAGATTTGGCTCGAAGTTGCACACCTTTCTTAAAATTATACCTATTGTTTCACCTTAAACAGATGGGGATTATGCAACTCTGCTGTAGCTCCCAGACTGGTAACAATTAAGGAAAGCAGTGAAGGAATCTGAAAATTTGAGGAGCATCTTTCCCAATAAGGCTGGACTGCTGAAAATGTGTTGGGTTACTTGCTTGCTGGATCTCTGGGGACAAACACTATCATGACAAAATATTAGCCTAATTTTTAAAATTTTGTAAGTGTGGGGCTCCTCCATGACATGTCAGAGGTGCCACCAAGCAGCTCTGCCTGGTATCTTACCTCACTCCTACAGTACCTGTGATAAGTAGGTGAGCTTGCCAAGATCCTCATAGTCAACGTCTTTCTTGGCACCAAGAACTTCATCCACTTCAGCCTGAGCCCTGCAGTTCAATTAAAACTTGTTAGCTGCAGATGCTGGTTTCTTGCTAGGCAAGTTGACAAATTACATTATTTTACTTTCCAGACACTCAGTTGGACTTAAACACACCATTCTCAGGCAAAATGCCAACCAATTCCCATCCAGGCTTCCTGAACTTGTACCTCAAATCAGGATGAGGCAATGTCCATACAGGGCAGCTGAATCCAGTGGGATTTAGGACCTGTATGTATAAAGGCTTTGAAAAAAATCACCTAAGTGAAACTGAAATAATCCATCTTAAGGTTTTTATTTTTTTTACATTTTTGATGTATTGGTACTAAGAAACTGCTTATTTTGGAAAGAGACTAGATTTTATTTGGAACTGATCTTAATATTTTAATAACCCTTACAATTAAGTTCATCTTGAAATTAATATCAAGCTGGGTCTGCAAACTGGAGCACACATACCTTTCCAGTATTTCAGGATGCTGACCCAGTGCCATTACTGTAAATGCCATCTGATTGGCACTTGTTTCATGACCTATTGACAACAAAAACCAGTTTAAAAGTTTGCATGAAATAATATCATGATACAAAGATGGTCTACTAGGGTGATATGAGGAAGCTTTAAACATCAAACCCCAAATGTTCTATTTCAAATATGATAGAAAATAAAGGAAATAATAAAAGGTATGTGAAGTCTACATAAAGAGCTTTCAACAATGACAAGAAAAGGACACAGCTTGCAAAGATATCACCCATATTGCCCAAGTCAAAGCTGCAATGGTTGTATCAGCACCTACTGGTCATGAGCTCCCTGACAGGAGGACCAGTGAGGTCCAGGTTTGCCTTGTCATATTATGGGACACACAGTTCTGCCAAAAATGAAGGATTTACTGGTTTTGAGGGAAAACAGAGCTTCTTACCATCTTTCTTTGGAAGGTCTGCTTTACATGCTAGGATGACCCTGCTTGAGCAAAGAGGTTGAACCAGAAGACCCTTCCAACCTTACCCACTTTGTGACTCTGATGTGGACACTTTTCCCTTTTTTTCATGGACATATGTACCATTTTAAAGCATTACAGAAAACAGACTTCTGCAAAGATGTCTACTGCAATAACATCTTTCTTGCCAAAGAACAGCATTTTGACCTCACCTTCTTATGAACCTAAATCCTCTTGATCTGCAGAATGTTTATCTCATATAATTACTCAGCCCATACATTTTCTGACTGGCTTGACAGTGTCTTCTCTTACGTAAGCAAGAATGGCATTTAATCGTGTGGGTGAGGTGATGCAAAGACACATTGAATATGTAAAAGATGGTTTTGGTGGGGTTTAGTGGGATCTGGGTGGAAGGTGCAGAACTCCATAAGGAACAGCCTTGCACCCCAGTGGGCAGTGGAAAGACAGAGGCTGGAAAACAGAGTGGGAAGCCAGTGGCTGGAAAACGTCAGCCTGGCATTATTTGCTGTGTTGATATCACTGAAAGAAGGCAATATATCATTTGCCTGTGAGAAAATGAAGAGTTCTCTTCAGACCTCACCCAGCTGGTCCTATGCCAGTGTAATACTGCTGTCTTTCAACCAAGAGACTCCTGGTTGCAGCAGCGTCACACGGAGTGACGATGTTAATGATGTTAATTATGATTAACAAGGATGTTAATCACGACCTTGTAGACAGCTCAAAAATGAGTACAGCTTTTCACATGACATATCCAAGCATTAAAATCACTACCAACCTGCAACAAAGAAAGTGATAAAGTTATCCAGAATGTTTTCATCATCTCTAGTTTCCTCCAGAGCTGTCAAGACAGAAAAACAAATAGGATTAGAAAATGCTCCAGTGCCCCAGTTGGACCAGCCAGAATGCTCTGCCTGTTTGGCACATATTGGCTGAGGTGGCATTGAGAGAGGATGCTGAGTGAGCATTTCAGTGGTGACTTGTGACCAATATTTGATCCAACACAAAGAAACAGGGAACTTTTAAAGTAACTCTCACTATCTTCAGTGTGAAAACAACTTTAAAAGAAGATCCAAGTTCAGATCCCCAAAACAGTCCTCCCTGAATTTCACAGCAAAACATAACACAGAGAAATTCACTCAAACAGCAAGGTGTCTCTTACCATCTCCTTTCAGTATCTGTGTAAGAATATCCACTGTGGCTTCTTTCCCATTCTGGATGGCTTCTCTCCTCAGGTCAATGCACTCCTTCCCCACACGTCTCAACAGCCTCACACTCTCCCTGGCCTCCTTTACCAGCTTCTGATGCCCTGGCATGAACTGAATACAGAGTTTCTTTTGTCATTTTATTCCTTTTGCTGATAAAAAGAAAATGCCAGTGTTATTTTACATGTGAGCACCTTGTTTTCCACTAAATGTCGCTTGTCACAAAAACATTTGCTCTCCATGCAACAAACTGAATGCCCACAGGATGAAGGGTTTGGGCTGAAATAAGAAACCTTTCAATCTGTGCATGCTGATGTCGTGTCTCATCAGAGGTGAGGTTTTGGGTACTGTGAGCAAAATTCATCACCTCTCCATGGAAAGAAACTGCAGCATGCAATGCAGAATCGCACCCCTGGTCTCAAAAAAGAAAACAGGAGTTCTTAAAGTCTGAACTATGGCTTTCATGAGACACTGGAATAATTCTTTACTTAAATATTTCATATTACATTCATCATTTCCTAGTAGATTAATTTGGTAGATGAATTTGAGTTGAAAATGTAATTTTTTCACAGCAAGAATGCTCAAATTTCTTCCACCTGAAGACTGAAGACTTGACTGAAGGCTGCAATCCTTCTTGGACAAATGGCAAAAATCTCAATTTTTAATGGCTATGAGAGCATAAAACCATATCAGAAGGAGACACATGCAGGGGGAACAAAAGAAAAAAATGCATTAAATATTAATGTTATTATTAATATTAATGTTAATTTGGAGAGTTTTTTAAAGCACTAATGAATTTTATCTTGATGCACATTGGAGGGAAAGATCTACAGATGACAGCTTCCCTGACATAAATGGACCTTGCACAGCTGCATGAACTCAAGCAGGAGCAGCTGAATGTGAGGAGAGAGGACCAAAGTGAGGAGAGTACAGACCCTTATGAAGGGGACGCGTGCCTTGTTCAGTCCCTCCATAATCTTAGTCACAGCACTGGGTAAAGCTGTCTGGTCATCACTCAGTGCATTTAATTCCAAGCCAAAGGCTACCTGAGAAGCGGGAGAGAAAAAAGACAACTTGCTGGGGTGGGGGTGAAAGAGCAGGAGAGCCTCACAGCACCACCTTTTCCCCTAAAAATATCTCAGGCTAGACCCTGCCTTGCAGGAGGCTGTGAGGGGAGGGCAAGATTGACATTATGTTTTCTCCTTATTTGGGAGGTTTCCTCCCAAAATTTGCCCTAAACCAGTAAATTAATAATTTTCTACTACTCTCCATTCCTCCCAAACTGGTTTGCATAGAAAGGGAAAAGGCAGCATAAGGCAGACTTCATGCAGACATGCCATGGCAATAATACAACCTCCAGCCATGAAAGAGCCCTGGTGCGTCCCTTTTGGCATGGAGGGGTGGGAGGTATGAGGCTGAAAGGACTCTTCCAAAGGTCCCCATCCTGTAGGCCACACCTAGATTTTACAGACCCTTCCCTAACTGCCCTTTCCCATGGCTCAGCCTGAATGGAAGTGACACAACCTTGCAGGACTTCTGGCACTGCTGGGTAAAGGTCTTTCTCCCTGCCTCCAGCTCCTGATCCCATCCTGCTGCTGGCTGCCATTATTTCCATCACTTCCTGCCAGTTGTAGAGGAAACAAGAAATGGACAGTGGGTACCTTTCCAATGATATCCATGGTCACCCGGCTCATCATCGACAGCATGCTAAACTCTGTTTTTCCATCTGCCTTTTCCTCTAGCTTCTCCACCAGCTCCTCTGCTTTTTCATTAAAAGTTTCCATCAGACCAATCAGGTAGCTGAACAATCAATAAAGATGAGTAATGGGGGCTCTGGAAAGGATATCTTTGCTCAGACAAAATAACCTTCATTATTTTCCATAGAAAATTGTAATTTTTTTTTAAAATTTAAAATTAACTTGCCTTAATACATTAAAAAGCAAACATATAAAATGAGCTACATTCTTCTTACAGCAGCCCTGCTCTGCCCTGCCATGTAATTAATATCTGTCGCGGCAAAGGGCAGTGGCCTGTGCCCAGCAAGGCACATGGACTTTAGCTTTGGATCCTACACACTCCATCAAGGGGCACAAGGAAACCAGACCAACCCTATGCCTTATCTTTTCCAACAGGATAAGGCAGCCATAACCATGCCCAAGATATACAACCTTCAGACATGTCTGCCATTGCTGAGTTCAAAGGGGTGTCACTGCTCCATGGGAAGTCTTGTCAAATTATAATTAGCATGCAAATGGAGTGCTAGATTCTAAGTTAAATATGATTTTGGCACTGAATGTTGGAGTCTTTTTCATCCAAATATCAAATAAAGGGAGAAGCATGACAATACAGTAAAAGTAACAGCTAGATCATCCCAGAAATACCTGCCTTACCTTCGGCTGAAAGCTGAATCCATTATCCTCCGCTGCTTGCGCCAATGCTCATGGTTGCAAACAGTTACCAAGCCATTCCCTAGAAACCTAGTGCACAGGAAAACAAGGAAAGGAACAGTTTTATCCAAGGGAGCCTGCTGAATCCCGTGTAGTCACAAATGTAAGAGTTTCACATCTACTTTCTTTTCTTTTTCCCATGTGTAGGGAGCACCTTTGAGCATGCAACCATTGCATCAATGCAGACAACAACCAAACAACAGATTTTTTTCTCCAGGTAGGTGTGGACTGCTGAGTCCAATAAGATGCTGGTTCATTACAGTTGTTATGCAAATAATTAGTATAATAACTGGATATTTAATAATATTGTATTTTTGAAAGCTTCGGACTACCGAAGAAAAATTCCGTTTTCTGGGAATTGTATTTAGAAGTTGCAAACTGCCATGCCTTATGGAGTGCTCTAAAATCACTGCTCTAAAAAAATGCTCCGAGAAATTTGATGATGGCCTTGAGCAGACTGCTCTGAGACTAACTGGACATTCCCAGGGGGAAAAAGGATACATGATCAAGGGAAAACAAAATCCAATATATCTTCCTCCCTGACTGTGAAGACATTTGACTTGACATATAGTTTAATAGGTACATGCTGCTTACATGTGTCTGGAATTAGAGATTAATCCCAACACTAAGGTAAATGGTCTGAGTCAAAATGTCATGCCTGTGATATTATTAATCTTGCACTTATTTTCAGATCACAATGGATTCAGATGGCTTTTGCCTACCTCTCACCAAATAGGCTGAAGAGAGTACCATACACCATTGGATCCTTTGGGTGCTGTGGTGACATCAAGAACTCCTGAAATCAAACCTCAGGTCAGTGAATACTGAGTGCAATCTGTTTCCCAGACAAAATACAAAATTTCACTCACACACATTTACTCCCTTCTTTTGCAGCAATAGTCTGAAGAGTAGATGATTTATTATTTCGTGTGCCCTGATTCCCCAGTTCCTGAGCTGCTAGCTTGCTCTGCATGCCTCTAGCACTTTTTTGCCCAATAACTTGAAATCTCACTGTTTTAATTGCAAAGATTTAGAGAAAGAAATTTGCTCTCTCGTGCCCCATTCATTTGAGATACTAAGCTCTTGTACAGAGCCTGCTTTTCACAAATGGAAAATATTTGCTCTATGTGCTGTTTAAATAAAAGTAACAAAATAAATTACCTGATCAAGGAAAAAATTAATCAGGACAACCTGGAGAGAAAAGCACCTCATCCTCCTAACCCAGCCAGAGCCAAGCAGAGATTGGCTGCTCTGTGCTACTCTGATCATCAGGCAACAGCTCTCCTGTTATGGAGGCATGGGCCGATCCCTACTATTGATTTGGCTTTATTTTTCAGTACCTTCACTCCTTCTGGACTCACAACCAATACTGAGATTCTGTGAAAGGCATTCACTCGTACAACAGGTCCATATTTCTCTGCCCTGTAAGAAAAGAAAATTTTAAAACAGAGAATGATGGTACAAACTAACATGTAACAGCTCAGATCTAATAACCCCAAAGGACCAGAGCACATTGCAGTGGGAATTACTGCAGTCCCCAGCCAATAAAGCCATTAAGAGAATTGCAGGACAGAATAATCAAGGTTGGAAGAGACCTTCAAGATCATCTGATCCAACCGTCAACCCATCATCACCATGATCACTTCTAATCATGTGCCACATCCAGACGTCCCTTGAATATTTCCATGAAGTTACTCCACCACCATCCTTATTCCAATGGCTAACCATTTCTTCAGTGGAAGTTTTTTTAATATCTAATCTGATCTAAAAGATCAATGCTGTCTATCTAGCTCCTTTGCCAACCTTCTCAATTATGCTCAATTATCCTGTAAGGGTCTTTGTGCCTTGATTTCTCCATATGTGCTACAGGACTAACCTATTCAATATTATTGATGTGTCTCAACTCACCACTGCAGGAAGAGATCTGGCGTTAACTCCCGATTCCTCACCATTCTCCATATGATTGGCAGGTGTCCAAATAAAAAGCTGCAGAATATGAAGGTTACAAGTGTCGTGAGGATGCCAACATAGGGTTATGTATGGATTGCTTCCATACTTGCAGTCCTTGTTGCCCAGTGAGTGTTGCTTATGTTTTCCTCATAAGGGAAGATGAAAATAACTCTGAGCTGTGCCAATTCCCAGTTCTCATCAAGCTGGTAAATTGGGGACCAAAGACAGGCTGGTCTTCACATGCAACCAAGGCAGACCAGTACAGAGATGAAGGACGAGGTCTTTTTCATATGCTGTATTATAGGAGATGTTTGGGTCTGGATGGGAGCCCCCATGAATTGCTTTGCTCTTTGCCTAGCTGACTGAATCTTAACTGCAGCTATTACATTGCTGTACATGAAAGAGACACTTGCATTAAATACTTTTTAATACATGCTCATCCCTGGTAAGTTTAACTTCATTTCTGTCAATGGATTTCTGTTAAAGGAGATTAGGAACCATCTCCTTATGTTCAAAACCATGTCATTTCAAATACTGAGGGAGATAATTACTGGTTAGTATGGAAATTGAAGAAATTAATAAAAAATGTTAACTCTTCAAATACAATAGCTGCACTGAAAACTTAAGAGATCAATTCCTTCCTTCAGCTGTGAGTGGTGAATTCCCACTGGCTTTGCATAAATCTGAGGGAAGATTTGGCCAAGTTTGTCTCTAAATGAAGCAAGCTGCACTCAAGGTCTGTTTTCAATTTGAGAGACAGAGGTCCATGCTATCATCCTTTTCAGTATAAATAAGCTATGGGGGAAAACTGAGTCTTATTTTATTACTGTTGGAACTGAGAGGTGCTTAAAATAACAAGAACTCAACAAAGTTACTCAACACCTACAGAAACTTTTAATCCTCCACTTGTTTGACTCCTTTGTCACTGTATTCCAAAAAGATGTGAAAGCTCCAAATACAACACAACTCCTTTGTTAGCTCTGGAAGCCACTCTATCTGCAGCACAGGAAACAAGGTTCCACTCATGGCTCCTCTGGTGTGCCATCACTCCACCATGCTACTTCACAGCTCAAAATGAACCTAAGGATCACCAGGGTCAGGTATGACAAGATCATCCTCTCTCTAGTCCTGGTATCTGACCCTGATTACACAAGAAGGCTGTAGCCTGGAGGTGGGCAGGAGAGAGCAGTGTCCCTGTAAGGCTGTGTATGAGTGTTGGTGTCTCTTCGTGGCATGTTACGGAGGGCATGTGCACCCACAGGTGAAGAGGGAAGCTCACACACTCCTGCAGGAACCGTGACTCCTTGTGACAGCGCTGCCACTGCCTGGCTGGCAGCTTTCTCACTTCCCCTTATCACTTACGACATTTTTATTTATTTTTGGCAGAAACTAAACACCTGGGTTATGAAGGAGAGCACGGAAGGTGCCTGGTGGAGTTAGTGTCAATGTGCCTCCTGGAGCAGTGTGGTGCGGAAGGCGGTGCTGGTCCCTCCTGCGCGGCTGACGCTGCCGTCAGGTCCCTCTCCAGGGTCAGGAGCAAACGCATGGCTCGGGTGGGCGACTCTAAAGCGCCCCTTGGGCCGCTTTGGCCACCCGGGAGATGTAGGTCAGGACACGCAGCCCCGGCCAGGCAGGCCGTGCTGCTGAGCCGGCTGCGGGATCCCCAGCGATGCCAGCGCTTCCAGGGCCGCGGGCACACAGCAGCGCTGTGCCCAGCCTGCTGACCCCTCGCCGCTGCCCTTGCCCGCACCCGCCGGGCCCGGCACGGCCCGTGGACACCGGCTGGAGGGTTTATTTCCTGCTCTGGCGTTGCCTCATGGCTCCAGCCTGGCAGGGAGCGCTCTGCGGAGACTCCGAGCCAGCCCGCCGCCGCGTCGCCTGCCCGGCCAGCCCCTTACCTCTCCCGCGGGGCGCCGGGGATGTAGTCGTACTTAGCGTGGATGTACTGCACGTAGCAGCAGTACAGGACGAAGGTCAGGAGGGACAGGGCCAGCAGGAGCCCCCCCGCCGCACACAGCACCTCCATCCCCGCCGGCTGCCGGCGCCTCCCCCCGCACCGAGCAAAGGGCGGCCGGGGCGGGCCGGGAGAATCCCCGGCTGCCGGCGGGGACCGCCCCGCTTAAAGAGCCCGGCGGCGGCGGCGGCCTGCGCCCGGAGCGCCGTGCTGCTCCAACACACCCCCACGGCCTGTGCCCCTGAGCGTGGCTACGGATATGGCCCAGAGGAGGACACGAAGATGCTCAACGGGCTGGACCACTTTTCTTCTGAAGACAGGCTGAGACAGTCAGAGCTGTTCAGCCCGGAAAATAAGAAGGCTCCGAGGAGATCCTATTGCAGGGGCTGCAAGAGAGCTGGAGAGGGACTTGTTACAAGGGCATGTAGTATGATATGACAAGGGGGAATGGCTTTGAACTTAAAGAATGTAGATCTAGATTAGATATTAGGAATAAATTCTTTACTGTGAGGATAGAGAGACACTGGAACAGGTAGTCCAGAGGAGTTATGGATGCCCTGTCCCTGGAAGTGTTCAAGACCAGGTTGAATGAGGCTTTGAGCAACCTAGTCTAGTGGAAGGTGTGTCCCTGACCATGGCAGGGGATGAAAGTGGAACAAGATGATCCTTAAGGTCCCTTCCAACCCAAACCATTCTATGATTCCATTCCAGATACATACATGTATGTGTGTGTGTATGTACGGATATATGCTTTCCTGTGTGGAGATGATGCTTTGCACAAGTGCATGAGGAGGTCAGGAAGGATGCTGCACCTTCCTCTGTTTGTTTACAAAAATGTTTTAAATAAATCTCATCTCTGAAGTCTCCTAGACAAACCAAGAGTCCCAGGACAAAGAAGGCAGAGACTTTTTGTTGACTTTTAATTGATTAAATTAGAAGAGACAAAGGAAATGTACTTTTGCCTGTAGGAATCAGTAGGTGAAGGTTTTTAGAGCAGTCTGTTTTGGGCACCATATTAAACAACATGCTCCCTCCTCATCCAGACACAGGAGTGAGAGCTGATACTGTTTTATTCAAAACAAGCAATCTAATATTCATTTACACAAATTGCATAAGGATTGCAAGACACAAGAGACTAAGCCATAAAATGGTGGAAATGAATTTCTGGTGAATGAAAAGTAATGCATGGGGGAAGATAAAATATGTGTATACATATCCATATACATACAAGCCAGTTATACATGTTTAGTGGTGGTACTTATTCAGGAATTTCACCTTAATGCTCAGTATAGATCAAAGGAACAAGCAGAGCATTGACAGTGATTAGAAATGGGGGAGTGAGTGAAACAAGATGTCTGAATGTACTGGTAGAGAGAGAGCTGGATAAACCCAGAGCACACCCACTGTGTGGGAATACCCCATTCACTCTTCCTACCAGCTTGGCAGAGGTCAGAACAGGTGAAACCTCAAACTGGAAAAAGGATGAGTGAGGGAGGTTATGACAGGTGTAAGGAAAACCAGTGGTTTGGTGATAAATAGGGACAAATTGACTCATTATTTTGTGTAATTTAAGAACAAGGAGGTATCCACTGAAATGATCCAGCAGCAAGTGTAAAAGAGGAATATATTTTTCACAACAAATTGTTAAATGGGGGAACTCATGGGAACAAACTATTGTGGGAGCTAAGTAAGTAAGTTGGCCCACAAGGAGCCAGGGAAAGTGATTGGAGAATGGCACCAGGAACCATCACTGGCCTCAGCAGGACCTCTGCACTCGGGAGCAACAACCTCTGTAGTCTCTAATAAACCCTCCCTTTATTTCTTCCTTCTCAGAGCCTTGCTAGGTCACTCCACCAATGCTGCAGCAGGCTGCGCCCACTCCATCCCTTTGAAGGTTGCTTATCTTACTTGTGGGGTGTCTGACACTCCTCTCAACCATTTCCACAGCTCTGAGTGCAGCAGGAGAAGCAAAAGCAGGATCCCTGCAGCCCCACTATGTCCAAAGGAAAACAAGCACAGCACTTGCCAATCAGACTTTCACAGGACAGCCCCATTATATTCTCCTTTCTCTGCACAAGCTTTGCTCAATCATCTGGAGGCAGCATACCAAGCTACCTGGAATTTTATCATGTGCATTTTTCACATCTGCGTTTCTGCCTTGTTTGACAGCAGGACCTGTATCCTAACCACAGGATACACTGCAGGAGTTTTCATCCCATTTCCAATGGGGTGTATTTTCCCTGCACCCTTCCTTCAGCATCTCCCATATGGTCAAGCCTCTCTGCAGAAGGGAGAAAATGTGGCTCATGGCACCCCCTGTTTTTGTCCATCCAATGCATCAATCATCTGCCAGGCACCTCTAAGACTCGACCCACTTCAGTTTCCAAGTGGAAACTGAATGTGCAAGAAACAATCTGCATGTTTTCCTTGGTTTTCTTATCAGGCTTTCTGTTACCTTCAATGTTAACACTGATTTTTCTTGAACTGGTAGTTCCTTCTTTGGCTCAAAACAATTGCCTTACAATGAATAATTTTCCCCTCTGTTTACAGTACATATTCTCCAAGACCATCGTTATCATCTAACAGTTGTTTTCATTTATCTAAATTGAAACTGCTTTTTTTTTTTTTTTTTTTTCTTTTTTTCCTGTTAAGGCTGTGGTTTTAAAAGTGCTTTTTCAGAAAAAAGCTACCATTCCTTCCCACTGGTCAGGCAGTGCATATGATGGTATCATGGTATGAGTATCCACGACTAGGAAAGATACAGCTGAGAGCAAGAATAACATCACCCAGAGAAAGTTTAAAAACTAAATCCTGCTGATGGAACCATGTTCCTAAAGACATTCAGTGAACTTCCTGATGAAACATTGATTTTCTGAGTTTCATCAATGGTTTTTCAGCATACTTCAAGAATGGACTGTAACTATCTGTAAGTTGTTCTTTCATTTGGAATCAGTCCCAGAATAATTCCTGGGGAAAATTCCTGCTTGTACCTTGTTTGTGACCAGCTAGCTGGAAGGTGATAAAATATTTGTTATTTTATACATTTTGATGGGAAAGAAGGGCTATGTGATACAGTTCTAATCCCTGAGTAAATCAGGTAAGATCTAAAAATTAGGCTTCTCAAGCAAATATAATTATCAGCTGATAACTCTCCTAAGTATTCAACCTGGGTGTGTTGCAGAAATTATCTTTTTTTTTTAAGCTTTAAAGATGATCTTCAATAAAAACTTTTGTTTGTGTCCCAACAAACTTTAATACAACCCTTTGTTTGTATTCTAACGTGTTTCTATACCCTTGAGTGAAGGACATGATCCCAAGACACTCTTGTGTTTATGATCTGCCCGGGAGCCACAGGCTGGGCTGGGAGGAGGAGCAAGGTTGGGCTGGGCTGGGCTTCCCCGCGGGTCCCCTTGCTGCTGGGGACTGAAGTGCCACCGCGTGGATATTCTGCCAACATGCACATTCGCAAACGCGAGCAGCTGAACAGGTCTGGGAGCTGGTCAGAGAAGCAGAGAACTGGGAACTGTTAACAGGTGAAGTTCCTAGGTGAATTTTAAAAGCTGGTGATACATAGGGTTAGTCCGAACTCCTGCTCTCTTTTGCTTGGCTTTGCATGGCTATCTAGATTTGAGAACATTCTGTTCTCTCTCTGAAGGTGCAGCTTTGTTTAAGCTGCGAGGACAGCAAGGAGAAGGCAGAGCATAGGCAGCTCTGATGCTGGGAAATGCCTTCAGCAGCACACGAATAGCCAGAGGACTGGTCACTCAGAATTCACCAGGGCAGACGTGGACAGGAAAACTCTCATAACAAATTAATAATGATGAATTAGCTGATCTAAAACGAGGCCTGTAGACACAGATTATGCTGGATATAGGAGTCAAAACGAAATCTGCAGTGGGTGAGGTGTTATTTACCCAGCATTACCAAATACAGACCTTTACAGTGATTTTCACCCAGAGTCAGTTGTTCCCCAGGCCTTATATACTGAAGTCCTGATCATTCTCAGCCAGTAAAATTTTCCAGCATAGAGTGGACAAGTAAATGGCAAGATGTTAGTAATAACAGAAACAATCTAAGAGTTTAGTGATTATCAACAATTAATGACCCTGAGGAACAAAATACTTGATGTGATACTTGCACAACTGACTGAACACTACAGACTTTTTTGTTGTTGTTGTTTAGTTTTGTTAAAAATAGCATCCCTATTTACCACATTATTGTAAAGGAATGATTTCCATTTCCATCATAGCTGCTTTTCTGACAATGCTGAAACATTGCTAGAGGCAGGTCTATATCTGCACCTGTGCCCCAGACATAAGAACCTTGGGAAAATTATGTAGGAGACAACAAGGTATGAACACACATCAAATGGGTTCAATGTTTTGTTGGTTTATGGAGGAAAAAACCCCTATGCTTTCTTAAAGCTTAAATTTGGAATACAGTTAGTATTTATCAAAAGGTGCTTACATCTCTTCTCATACAGAAAAATATGTGTTTATGTCTGAAAGTATCTAAGGGGACCAATGTATCTCACATGCCAAGCTGACCTTTAGAGACAACTCCTGGTATGTTTCCTAGAGGAAAGCAGACTTGGATATTGATACGTTGTGACTGTTTTTCTCCCCTGTGCTTCTGAATTTCCATGTTGACCACACCCAAACAGCGTCAGGCTGAGCTCTCCTACAGAAGGATGGATTTGTGCTGCGGACTGTAGCCCTGCAGGTTTATCAATGCTAACTCGTGAAAGAAGAGGCAGGCTGAGCTGGGCACAGCCCTGGGAGTGTTTTGCTGGGTTTGAGCCCTGGGGCAGGGCAGGCATTCAAGAGCTGCTGTTCTCCCTTGGCCATCATAAAGTCCAACACAACCAGTCCTAACTGGTGAGAGGCTGATAGGGGAGATAAAGGCAAGACAAACACGATGGCAGCATGTGGAGCTGGGGCCCCAGGCTCATCTTTGCACCCTGTGCCAGTGTCGCCCACAGTGAGTTTTCTGAACTTGAGTCATGTCTTCAGTACAATTTTATTACACACCTCTGCCCATAATAATGGGATTCATGTGCCTTGTGCTGTTCATGCCCTGCAGCCTGACCTGGGCAGAGCAGAAATTCCCCTGACATGGAGGAAATCCTCATGGAGTGCTCCAGCCAGGGCTCAGCTCCCAGGAGGGTTTTGCCAGCATTTGAGTGAGAACCTCTGATACAACACCCTACCTATTTCACTATCCCTCCATTGCTTGGGCAGCAAGCTCTAAAGATTATTCCCAGATATATTGGGAAGATTTATCTATTGGACTTCTTGGAAAGAGCACAGTAAGTTCAAATGAAGATAATGCCTATACTGCAGAATGCAACCCAGTGTGGCAGTGCTCAGGCTGGATGCTGGGCACCACAAGGACATAAGTGAAAAATTCTGAGCTCTGGGCAGAGCTACTCTTCCTTGGAGGTAGAGAAAAAGACAATGGAAAGGCTGAGTTTACTGTTCCCTTAGAGATATGCTGGGTCCTCTATGTGATGCAGCTGTGCTAACTTTAGGAAAGATATGTAAGGAAAAATGTAGGTGCTTCAGTCTCAGTCACAGAGTTGAACCAGGAGACAAGGCAATAAACCATATCACTACTAGACAAAACTTTGGGACTGCCACACAGTATGTGAGGAAGTCTGGTTGCACTGTTGGCTATTTTAAGATTTATCCTGAATTAGCATCCAGGAAGTATACTATCATGTTCAAGTGTAGCAGCAGGGATTATTAGTTTATCTAATGCTCAATTGGTGTGACATCCTGCTATATAAAAATGATATCAATAAGAATCCTATTAAACAACAGATGAGATAGCAGGTATTTAAATGCCTGTGAGTAAATGCATTGAGTGCTTTAAATAGTACAGGCTCATAATTTAAATACTAGTGAACTAGACTGACTGATACCAGGATTTAGAACAGATATATTTTAAGCTTGGAAGGGACCACAATGGCCAGAAATACCCTCCCAGCATCACAGCAGCATACTGAGCTGGCAGACACAGACATGCACACACAGCCACGTGTGCTGAGCTGGCTCGATCCTATTTGAACACCTTCCCCACTCAGTGTAGGCTGGGAGAAAGGATAAGAGGAAAAAAACCCTGTATTTACAAGCCTTGTTTCTCCCTGTGGAGCTGGCAGCACCCCCATAGCAGCATCAGCAAACACCTCACCAGCAAACACGGGGGGTTCTCTGTGCCAGCACAGGCAGGCACAGCTCGCTCTCACCCACAGCTGCTCCGTAGGGGCTAGTTCCTCCGTGCTTCTGGCTGTCACCAGAGCCTGTGTGTCACCCTGCCTGCCGGACAGGGGTGCTGGCAATCACCATCAGCAATATCCAAGGTGTACGTGGCCTCTGCTTGTTCTCAGGACATTCAACAGACTAAAGCTGGTGCAGGGTAACTAGTAGTGAAATTAGAAAAAGAATACATAATAGTTAGAAAATGATGGTGAAATGCTTAATTCATCTGTGGCAGACATCCTGGAATCACCTTAATTCCTTTAGGGTAACTTTTATTGTGTAGGCCTTTTTTTCTACCCAGAAATTTTGAAGTATAACTATGACTGAGATTCTCCTTAAAATCTCCCAGACAGAGAGAGCTGAAATTTGGCCAAAGAGCCAAAAGAAGCAGAAGAGGAATTTGGAAAAAGAAAGATTGTATCTCCACCTTCGATTTTCTTCCAGCCCTCTAGTCCCACCAGCTATAGGTTCCAACTCTTTTAACATAAGAATTTACAAAGGACTCATTTTGATGTGCCTGAAGTGAATTTCTGCATTTGAAACAAATGTGTTTGCAACTTCACTGAAATGGGAAAGGCCTGATAACAGTCTGGTGTGTGACGGCATTTGTAGGTTTTCAAATGAAATAAGAGTAGTACTTCTCAAAAGGCACTTTATACATCTGTTCTCCCTTCATACTTCATAAGCAGTAGGGGGAAATACTATTTTTTTGATCATCTGGTTTTGTGTATTGAAGGTGTTCTCTAATACCAAAAACAATTCAATGAGAATTTATCAGAAAGTTCAGGAAAAATATTTAAAACAGATTAATTTACCCTAGGCATGTTTTAGGCTTAAGAAGATACTGTCAACTTGAAACTGGGTTAAAATAAATTCCACAGTAAGAGCTTTAGATACAAGATTTTGCTTGTGAACTTTTCTGGATACACTGGTCATTTTTCATTTGAGGTTATTTAGGTTTTGGGGATTTTTTTTGTCTTTCTCACATTCTTGTGTGAGCAGCAAGAAAAAAACCTATCCTGATTACACCAGGGAAAACAAATAACCAGGCCAAATGCTTTCATACGACAACATGTGTCTCCCATCACCACTCAGGTGAAAAACACATTTCAGACAAAATAGGGTTGCTTTTGTTTGCTTTTTTTTTTTTTTTAATATCCTCTAAAAAGGGGTAAATATTACAGGATTATTGCCACAGTGCATTACCTCTTGTCTAGTCATTCACACCTGTGAAAAACTGAATGAAAAAACATGTGCCTTCATAAAGTTTGGGAAAGTGGATAAACACATACAAAGTATCTTCAGAGTTAAGCTGGATAATGATCCTGTTCATCTAAAAAAGGACAGATTTTCAATCCTGTTCATGTAAAAGTGGTCAGATTTTCTTTTCACTTAGGCTAATGTAAACTGCAGAAATTTTTTACATGCAGTACATTATGATTTATTTTAAATCATCTGATTTTCCTTACTCTTGATGACCAATAGGTTTATACCAATAAAAAGCATTACAGAAAAACAATTTTCCTTTAAACTAGTGGGTGGAAAGTTAAAAAAAACCCCACTTTTTTAATTTGCAAAGAAAGGCACAGATTTAGAAAGGCACGTCCTTAGAAACTGCAGCTCAGAGCTGCAAGTGGCAAAGCAAGGCGAGCAATGCAAATGCTTCCGTAAGAGTAAAACATGGTCATTTGGGAATTTATTTTTTGGCAAAACATTGTGAAGCACAGCTGAAGAATGTTGTATTTTGAAATGGGAAAGGGCAACAGGATGCATCTTTTCTGATCTATAAAGGCTGGTGCTTGGGGGTTTCTTCCTACAAAAAACAAACAAACAAACAAACATAGAAATACAGCCCCTGCCCACATCATACTCAATTCACTACCTCATTTTACTTTTTTTTTTTTTTTTTTTTCTTCCCTCTGAGGCAGATGCATGGGGACGAACACGAAAAAAACATGAGATTACTTTGAACAGACGCAGCATCCTCAAGGCAGGGCACACCCTCCTCAATACTGCAGCTGGTTTAGAGGGCTGGCCAAGAAAGGGATGCGCTCCAAGCCCCTGAGCTGCCTTCCCCAGCCCCTCGGTCACCGGTCTGTCACCTCCTCCCGGCTGCACACCACACCGGCGTCCTCCTCGTGCGAGCAGTTGTGCGTGCCCACACCGGCATGGGAGCACTCCAGCAGCGTCCTCTCCTGCCCGGAGCACTGCACATCATCCAGAAGAATGCGGATGGAGGTCCCTTCCCCGAACTCTGCCTTCTTGGTGGCCCGCACCACGTAGGGGAAGCCGAGCTGGCGGCACACCACGGCGGCGGCAGGCAAGCTCCAGCCGTCGTCGCACACCGTGCCCCACTCGCCGTCGATGTAAACCTCCACCCTGCCGCGGCCGCGGCCCCGCCGGTCCTGCCGCATCAGCCTCACGGCGCCATTGCCGGGGGGCTTCTTCCTCCTGCGCTGTCCCCTCTCCTGTGGCCCGTGGCCCGGCCCGCGGGCCCCGCCGCCCGGCGCCGCCGGGCTGGGCCTGCCTCCCCTCCCCGGCGGCGCCGGCGTGAGGGGCCTGAGGGCGTCAGGGCCGCCTCCCCGCGGGGCCTCGGTGGTGGTCTTCAGCCGAGGATGTGGCGTTGGTGTTTTCATAATAAACTCTGTCGGGGGAAAAAACACAAAGTTTGTCACGCTCCGGGCAGTGCTTGAAGACAGTTACACGAAACCAGTGCTGATTTTTGACTTATATAAGTAATTTCTTGGAATTTACCTACTTGATCCTGTTGAGAAGCAACAAGACTCTTAGCAAACCGGTATTTCCTCAATGAAAAATGTCGGCTGTTGTTAGCAGAGAGGACTGCAGGGCTGAATGCCAACGCTGAGCCTCTCCCAAAAGGAAAGGTCCAAGTGTTTTATTGGCAAATGTCAGCCTGGCCCTTAAAGGGTAGGTGCTGGAGTTTCACGGTCAGGAGAGGAGCTCTTCACCATATCCTGGAGAAGTGCTGCCTAACACATTTTACAGACAGGAGCTATTTCTGCTCTTCTCTTCATTACTAAGGATTGGATCATTACCAGAGGAGAGCGTGGCCCCCCCACTGGGCCAGATGCTTTATTCAGAGGAACTGAAATCAGGAACATTCAAAATCAGTTCTCTCTGGCAACTGGAATGTGCAAGAGGAACAGAGTTGTCAGGACAACACATAAAACAGGATTTGGGGTTAGGTTGGAGCCTTGGACTCTGAAGAAATTAAAATTCTTTGCTGTCACAGTTTCCAGGTGTTACTGGACTTGCTTATTCACATTTGCTTTATTTTTAGCTTAAAAAGAAGTTTTAGTTTGCCAGAAGGAAGCAATTCAGAATTTCACAGAATAACATTCAACAGAACTGGGATGGTGTCACGGACATTTGCAAAGACATCGTGACTTTGATTTATATCCCAGATTTATGCATTCTCATTCATCATTTTCTTTGTAGCACAGAGAGGAGGAAAAATATCACTGTCTATTTAGTCCCCAAAAGACAAACCCTTGCAATGGTCCATGTTTTTCCAAATAATGCTCTTTGAAAATGAATTGCGTTCATGACATGAAAATATTTCCTTCCTTTGAAAGCTGTGGTTCTCAAGGCAAGAAACAGATTTGAAGGCTTTACCTGTGCACAGCTCATTTGCTGGAGCCTAGTCTGGCAAAGCACTTGAAAACCCTGGGACTGACTGAATACTATGTAGGACTGTATGAAAGCTAATGGTCACCTGTGAGTGCTTTTCACCTCACTGGATCAAGTTGTCATATAATACTCTTTATTAAACTATTTCTTAAATACACTTGCAAAAAATGCACTCATAGCTAATTCAAGGCACATGCTCTGGCGAGTCTGTTACATTCAGACCAAATACCAACCAAAATAATAAATATTTACAGCTACACATCTTTGTGTGCTTCTGAATCAAAATGGTTGTGCTCATTTTTCACCAAAAAGAGACTGTAATTCTTGAGACAGTTGGTAGAATCCCTCCCATCATTTCTAAGTTTTCATTTATGACAAAAATTTCCTTGTAAACAAGCCCAAAAGATTTAGTTATAGTTTAAAAATCTGAACGTTGGGCTTGCATAGAGAATAATGCATAAGCAGAAACAGACAAAAATGTTTGAACATGAACCAAGTTACTAATATTTGGAAGCTGCCTGCACAGCCAGAAAAGGAGAACATCCTTGAAGATACTGAGTGCTCAGGCATGTCAGCAGTCAATAATTACTTTTGAGTTTGTTCCACCTTAAAGACTCAGTGTTGCAAGGTGCTGAGTGCCCTCATTATTCTCTTAAGCCAAAGCTGTATGAACTGTTAGTGACTCAAATGCAATGTAACGTGATTAATGTAATTAAAAATTAAATAAAAGTGTACTGACTTTGGAGTTCCTGCAGCACCATTAACCTTGTGACAAAGTTCATGGACTATGCTGAGTTGGAAAGAAATTTGTTGTGGTGCTGCCTAGGTACTTATATGTGTAATTTAAATGCACAGTGAGAAAGAACAGTGATACTGTCTAGTCTACTTTTGAGATCCTAATACTGTGTTTTTGTACCTCACATAAATAGTACTTGGCTTGCTGCAGATTCAGTTCCACCACTGACTACTCCAGCTTTAGTAGTACAATCCTTCATGCACCATGAAGCAATCAAAAGGCCCTGGAGGATTTGGGTAAGCCAAAAATTCGCCTCAGTGCATGATCACTGATTCTTTTGGGAGCATTTTGTCAGCCCATATTTTCTCACTTTCAACTAACAATGACTCAGCTCTCATCTTGCTCAGTGAGCTACTTCCCAACTCTTTACCCATCACATCCTCTCCACTACTACTGCAAAAAAAATCACTTGTCCCTGAAAAGTACCATTGAGTACAAGATCTCTGGACAGGAACAGTTACAGGGAAACCAAGCTGGTGGTAATGAAATGTGTACAATGTAGCATGAAAAAGAGAAAATGAAGAGGGTCGGAAACTAAAAAGCAAATTTCACATGGCCAAGAAAGGGAGTTTGAACCATTTCTTCAGATCTAAAACATCTGGAAAGATTTAATTTTGAGGATACCCTGAAGAGTGAAGTTCTGGGTGGTGCAAATCTGGAGTTTGTATCTACTGCCAGCTAACATGAACCAATAATAAACAGCAAGAGTTACACTCACTCTCCTTTGGTACAAATGGGATGCGCTTGCCTTTGACTTTCACTGGCGATGGCTCAACTTGGCATTTTCCTGGTGGTGCTGTCCTTGAAAGAAAGGGAAACATACACTGCACAATTAATTCCTTTCCTCTGGCATAGCAACACTTCCCATTGTTTTTCTAAGAACATAATTCTTATTGGAAAAGAAACAAAGTCTGTTTAAATGATGCAACTAATCTCTTACAGTAGAAAACAACTAAAGAATCACAGATCACCATTGATGAAAGTCCAAATATTCCAAAGGCAGTGGAGTCCTCTGTCTGTGTTTTCAGCTGCCATTATTGAAGCCATTAAGGAAATAAAACATTGGCAGGTTCAAGTAGTACAGAAAGAGAATAATCAAACTGAAAATAAAAATTACAAAACTAGACAGTATATGTTGAACATCTGACACAAAGGTCATGTGTATGCAAGATTTCAGACTGTTTTCACAGAAGCAAAATAACATACTATTACTCATACAGAAAGCCCAAACAAATGTCATGTCAAAAATGCATTAGTTTCAGAAAAGAACTCTAAAATGTCTCCTCCAGAGGCTTTGTCTTAGTATGGTGCATTATTTTGACACAATTTGTTTGCCATAGAGATGTACCTCACTTCTGGGAAGTCACATCCGGTTCATCACCACTTTTTCCTATGACAGCTGCCTTGGTAATCCTCAGACTTCTTCAGAGGTTTTCAAATTGGTTCAAAAATGGATGATGTTTGCATTTGGAGGGTATAAGCCCTGTGCAATTCGGATTGTTTGCATTTTCATTTCTGGGGAAAGTCAGAGAGCTTCTCTTTCAACTGTCCACACATGGATGTTCCCTACTTTTATAGATTTTCCAATGATTTTTTTGTGGTACTCTGAACATGAACAAGGCTTCTTTTTAAACTTAAACTTATGCCTTGTGTTTGATTTCTGCTTGCTTTATTTTTGCAAAGGTTGCGTAATTCCAGCTTCTTAATACATAGTTTACAGGAACTCTTCCATTGCATTTGATAATGGAAAATGCTCCTGACAGAGAAGAGTTGGAGGAAACATATGACAGATCTGGGGGCTTTTTAACTTTGGGGACTGGTTTCAATATAAAACTAGACAAGTGGTTTGGTTCAAAATCCTCAGATAGCTAAAGCTCTAAATTTAATCCATAAAAAAAAAAAAAGCTACAAAATATCGCTCTCTGTTTCTGGCTGAAAGTATCTTGGTGTTTAGCCAATAAGAGTCACACTTTAAAAACAGGAAGATGGAAAAAACAGCTGTAAGTCTTCCCATAAAACACAGCTATTCTCTGCCTTGCCCAGTCTCAGATACAGGCACGTGGAACCCAGGAGATATAACAATGGTCCTGTTTTCTTGTCCAATCCATACCGCTCTTTGAAACATAAAGAAGAATGTACTTTTGATATTAATTTCTGATTTGCCCAAGAAAGCACTGCAGGTCATGCTGGTCCAGCTTTGGCTGCAGTGACCGGGGGCACAGGGTTCTTGTGGGAGATGAAAACAGGGATGAACTGAGAATAAACACCTTGAGAAAATCTGCCCCCTTTTAGGCAGGAATCTAGAGAAACTTTGCCCAAGAAAGACAATCCATCCACAAAATACTCCTTTAGGATTCAGGAAATCTCCCAACGCACATAACACCGAAAGACCTCATAAAAACTTGGCACCAGGCAGCGTAGACCCCCACGACTGCAGGAGCAAAGCAGACCCACAATGGATTGCTCCAGATGTTCCTTGATCGACCTCCCCAGAAGGGCCCAGCATGGGAGAAGAGTGAATTAGTCAGCCAACATCACTCATCACATCTACACCATCACACAGCCCATCCACAGCATCCATGCCAGGACTCACTGCACCATCACCAGGCCTTGCAACAAGAACATGTCATACCTGGAGGTGTCCACCACTTTGTACACCACTCCATGGGGAGCTGTGGCACTTGGTACTCCAGTCGACAGGAAGTACAATTCCCCTGGTAAAAAAAAAAACCAGACACACCCCTGAAAACTGTCTGTGGAGTTTCTGTCCTGTACGGCACAAAGGCATCAACTCTGCATCATGGGTCTGAGAGCTCATCTGCAGTGCATTGGCATAAAATACTCTTAGTGAGAGGCAGCTTTTACGAATTGTCATGAATTACTATTTGGACAAATTTCCACTGCAGGTTCACTTGCTCAGACCTTCCTTGTCATCTCATTATGATCTGTGTCCTTTGACTTCTCTAATGTAAGACAGTCAAACCCTGAATTACTTTTGTTAAAATGAAAGGAAATTAGGTAAGTTCACTGTCTTCTGCTCATTTGGATGAAGGACTCCTTTGGGGTGAATTACAGGAGAACAAGATTTTGCTTTTGCTTTCTCTAGCACACTCACAGAGTGAGACATATCTCACACAAAAGGCATTTGATTCATCACAGCCTTGTCAGGTCACATGTGCAGGGCTTGACCTTCAACCAAACAATGTCCATCACCATTTATTTGACTTATTTTCTCTTAACAGCATTTCTATCCTTCTCCTGTTGTGCAGGGGAGAGTGGGATAAACAGTCCTTCTGGCACTCTTTTGAGAGCTCAAGTGCTTGAGTGGTACAACAAAAAAGGATTAGAGAGAAAAAATATACTCGCAATATTTTTTTAAAAAGAGCAGAAACAGAAAAAGAGGCAATATAGATTTGCTTAGTGAATAAGACAGACTTTCTTGGGTGTCCTATGGGTAAACCAAGGGGAAAGGGGGAAGGAACAGAGAGGTCAGCAAAGGAATGTGTGGGCAACTGGCAGCAGCTGGGGTTGAGCCTCCCTCCTCCTACCTGCTCTCCTGTGCTGCCCTGGGCTAGGCTCCTCTGGATAATCCCAGGCCAGAAAGCTTTGGCTACCCCTGGCTGGTTTCTTCCTTCTTCTGTTGAGCTGCATTAATGACAGACCAGAGGCAGCCTTGGTCCAAACAGGGACGAGAAATACCTGGCAGTGAGTTTTGTGGTGATGTGTGCTTTACATCCTTCTCCTCTTTCCTGGAAGTTATCAGGCAGCTGTTTGGATGCTCAGACATGAAGCACATAGGCTACACACATGTGACCCACAGACACAGTGCCTGCGGTGTCTCTGACATGTTCTGCTGAACAGGGATGGGACTGGTGGCTTTATAATGCCAAAATAACATATATATATAATATATATATATAATGGCCATAAACAGAGATCTCCCCACCATATACACACATCCATTGCACCAGATAGATTAACACTCATCAGAACAACAACCTGAAAACTTCACTGCTTCTGTGAAGAAAACCCTGTTAAAATAAACTGTGTGACAAACTTGTAAAACATTAAATTCCCAGCATAAAAAAAAAGGTGCAAGAGAAGACTTTTCATAGCAGATAAAGCAACCTCACTACACTGTTACCAACAGATTTCTTTCCATTACTATAAAGCCAACACAAGACAATTAACTACATCTGAAAAGAGACCAGCCCAAATCTCCACTCAGCTCTATCGTACTTATGCAAAGCACAGCAAAAAGCTGGCAGCATTTCACCCCTGCTTTGTCCAGACTCTGTTGACAAGCACAGGATGAGGGGGATCATCCTCATGTGCATGAGCAAGGGCTGCAATCAACAGCTTGATATTGCACTTGGCATAAAGCTGATTTGAACTAAGTTATTTGATTTTAGGGTAAGATATCCTTCTCACTACAGCACTGTAAAATAGCTCTAAATTCCATGAATATTAACCATTAAAGAAAATGGAATTTAACTCTAAAAAAAAAAAAAGTCATACTTTCAAGCTAATATTTAACTTGGAGGATTTGCATTCACATGATGAAATTTGCATTTATATGATTTGAGCAGCATCCAAACTTGACATAATCTGCAGGAAAAAGCAGATGTTTAAAAGCTGGGGTATTTTGGAAGCAGGTGCTTGTGATCATGAGCCAAGACCTCCCTGGAACAGGGCAGAGCACAGCTCCTGCACTGCTGGGTCACATATGAAGTGCACATTGTGGGGCTCATCTTCTGCCCAGCCCCAGCCAGGGACTGCATGGGCTGCACATTCTGCAACACCCTTGTATAAACAATGGGAGACACCACCAGCTTTCTCCTCAGGGCTCTTTATTTCCTCCTCTTCAAATCACAGCAGCTCCCCTCTAGAAAGCAAAATGTCTCCAGTCATGAAAACACAGCAAAGCTCCACTGAGGCTCTATCTTTCAGTCCTACACAAGGCAAAATCCCAGCTGGCACTAATAAAATATAGACTTAAAGACTCTTTTGCTGCTGCCTCACTCAAGACATAACATAGGCTTTTGTTCTGCTTCACCTTGGGAGGTACAAATACCCTGGCCCAGGGTGAGCAGATATATAATCGCCATTCATGACATCTCCTTCCCTGTACCCATTAATAATGCCCACAGCCTTCCTGACTAGACCAGAAGATAGACTTGCTCTCCCTTGGGTATCAGCTTCTCAGGTTCCCAGGGCCTGCATTTCCTACAGTATAGCACTGTGAAAAATGAGGGGATTTTTCTAAGCTTTGTTTTATTCTACTTGTCCCCCTCTATTCTCCAGAGGGAAGGTGTGTATGCAGCAGCACGTCCAGCACACCAAACTCAGCCCCAAGGAAACTGACTCTCCAACTCTCACTGCAGGCACTGCATGGCACACAGACCTCAGAATTAGCATCGTAACTTTGGTTTGATATTTGGGAGATACTGGGTATCTGGCATTTTAAAGACTTGTGCTGTGCCTCCCCATTATGCATTGCCTGCCAGGAGTCCTCTCTGATCTCTTCCCTGGTGTTTTATTCTGAAGAGAAACCAGAAACACACCATTCAGTGTGGCAAAAAGTTAAGATTACCTGCCTCATCTTCAGCAAAGGAGATGATGTATTGATAATAGTTATTGATAAGCCCAGGGAACATGCATGTTTGTCCTGTCCCCATGCAGATTTCACTGTACTGCCACTCTCCAGTGGCATGATCTTCCTTCAAAGACATCAGGCGTCTGCAAGGCAAAAGAATACTTCTACAACCTGAACTAGATGATTTATGAATATTAGTATGGACACCTGAAATGATATTTAATGCTTCCTACCCACACTGACTGCAATAAGAACTGTGGCTTCTCTGAAGAGTGAAAGATTGTTAACATTAACCCAAATGTATTATACATCCTACAAACCCTTGTCTTTCAAGGGCAAGACAAGGACATGAAAAAACAAGAGGGGAGGGCTGAAGGGCTATTAGACTGTTTTGGGGGGGATTTTGGCTGGGGTTACAACTTAGTGAGTGATCTAAGTGTTTACTTACCCACTCATAAAATCACCAAATATGTACAGGCCATTCAGGTTTGGAGACTCGCAGCCTCGATAGACGTAGCCTCCTGTAACGGATTTTCCCATTTTGTGTGGATATGCGTAAATTGGAAGCACATCATCTATAAGGCAGAAAAGATCTTTGACTTGTTTTGCACATGCTGAAGAATAGCTCTTCATCTCAATTGTTCTGAAACTGGCAGAGTACAATCAGGTTCCCTGGTGCATCTTCTATTTAAATTAATTGCCAGTGGAATTGTATTTAGTTTGATTTTCACCTTTTCAGAATCCCATTTGATTGCCCTGCCCCTCACCAAGACAACTCAGCACTCTCCTGAGCCCTTCTCCTACCACCACACTCCGTCTCTGTAAGTGCCACTACCGGCACATTTCTACAGAGCTGGTCTGGTTAGCTACAAATTCACAGGCTACTCCTAGAGTCATTGCACCCCTGTGGGAAATGTTTGCCCAGTGCAGCTTTGTTTAGGTGGCAAAAGGAAAAAAGGAGATGGGTGACTCCAGACTGCAGGCACTGATGAAAAGATATGTCAGATGTCAGCACAAATAGCTTCTCTTCCTCTGAGATGTAGAAACAACTTGAAAGGGCCATCAAATATTTATAGGATGGCACAGGCATGAATGATGTAGTACTGGCATATTCATTGTGAAATATAAGTTAAAACATAAGACAAATGTAAAATGAAGAGAGATGTCCTAATTTTGAGAGTCTCCATTATGTGCTTCCTCCCTTTTCTTTTGAAACTCCTGGCTCACAGGTACCTCATAGTACCCTTTCCTCCTCATCCTCACAGCCTTTTTCCCTGCCCATGTAGCAGATGCTGCAAGTAGCAAACCTGGCAGCTCTGCAAGCAAAGAATTTGCACCAGGGGATTTCCTCTAAAGCAGGTGTTTTCTACACTTCAGCTGTACTTATCATTCTAAAGGGGCTGTGACATTTCACTGTTCTAACAAAGGGTCTCTAAAGTCATCAAAAATTGCTCTGAATCCCTGGAGACCTCAGTAAAGTGTCTGCCATGAATGCTCATGTGGGTACTGTCACACAGGAGAGCAATAAATGAGCTCTCTGAACAACTGCTTCAGCAAAGGGAGTGCAAAAAATCTGCTCCCTGCTCTTGACATTTTTATAAAAAAATACTTAATCACTCTCACACTAATAGCGAAGCTAATAAAAGGAAGGAATTTAAACTGAGTTAATATTAGGAAGAAAATTACACAACAACACATAGCACATAGAAAAGAATCAGAATCTCAGCTAATGCAAATCAGTGCCAGCCCACTCCACTGCCTCCCTGAATCTCTTGAAGAGGTTCCAGCACAAGACACGGTCCACATCAGCCTTGAAATTCAATATGTTCTGACTTCACGTGTTCACTGGAATTTAGCCAATCAGCAAACATCCTCAATCCAGTTTTGAATAGTTTAAAGGAATGAAAATAAAATTAGGCTTTCCTTTGTGGCATAGCTAAAAGAAATGAAAATACAACATACATTCAGCTACCTGCAAAGCAGACAATGTGCATAAGTGTTGATCAGTCAATGTTTTTCTCTTTTTTTAAAATAAGGATATTACTTGTGAGTTATGGAGAAAAATACAATTCCTCCAAATTTTTCTTGCTCCTGCACAAAAGCTTGTTTTAAGTGGCAAAGATGAAATTGTCCCTCTAAACCACAGAATCACTAAGTAATTTCACTAACAACACCAATCACCTAGGAAAACAACAGCCAGCATGTTTCACATTCCTCCTAACTCAGTAACATTTGTACTTTCAGTATTTATGCACAAGCCAGTTCCCTTCTAGACAGAGACAGTAGAAGTTTACATCTCAAAAAGGTGTGTTTACCACCAAGCGGCCAAGCTTTGAAGGCAGGAATTAAAAATGAGAGCACATCTATTTACCCAAGGAAGAATTGGTGCAAAGTTTTTTATCGTAACAGCTGAACCCTTCCCTTGCCCTCCAGCCGTAATTTTTCCCTTTCTCAACAATGTCGACTTCTTCGTATTTATTCTGCCCCACATCTCCACAGAAGAGCCTCCCCTTCCCTTCCTTGGTGTGGGGATCCCCTCTATCGAAAGAGCAGCGCCACATGTTTCTCACTCCGTACGCATAGACCTCGGGGCGAGCCGTGGGGTCTCTGACAAAAGGGTTGTCAGGAGGGATTCGGTACAGGGGCCCGCGGTCGTTGTTGTTCACATCGATCCGCAGCACTTTGCCCAGCAGGGCTGATCTGTATTGGGAGAAGACATGAAAAAGATTAAAAAAAAATTAGACTAGACCTTGGCAAAAAATAAGAGAGGGGGGGTTTGGAAAGTCTAGGGTTTCATTCTTTCTGTTTTAGAAAAGACAAGTCTTTGAATATCTCTGAAAAAAGAACCTTTTCAAGATAATTGTGTTTTCCCCTGCACAGCCTCCAGGTGGCTGGCATTGATTTTCCACACCCTGAAGCTGCCATAAGGATGGATATCCACTCTTACTTGTTCTGGGCATTTCCAAAGGTGCCAAAAGGATCCCCAGCCATGCCTCCATCTCCAGTAAAGATATAGAGATACTCATCATCTCCAAAGAGCAGCTCTCCTCCATTATGGTTGGAAGCAGGTTCTTCTATTTCAAGGATTATCCTAGGTGAAAACAGGGAGAAAGCAATTACCTACTGCACAAGCACTGTGCAAAGGGCAGAGCAACGTCATGCCAATGTAGTTCTTGACAGATGGAAGTAGCTACAGATTGGTTTTGATAAAAATTCCTCCATATCCATGTTACTGAATTTTTCTTGGGAACAGCTGATTTTCTAACCTTAAATAGTTTCAACATATTTTCCAGATTGCAGAAACACCAAATTGTGTAATATGGAAAGTCTGGGAAATCACATGACAAAATATACTTTTAATTACTTAAACCTTTCCTCTGATTCTTTCTTCCTCCTTGCTAAACTTATCTTTTATTTTTCTTTATAATTTATTAAAGAAAAGGCATCTGAGCTTATAGCCAATTGGAAATTTTAAAAGAAAGGACTCCAATCCATCTGTGCATCTGTGCAGCTTTTGGCACAATGCTACCAGGATGCTTTCAAGGCAAACATAAAACTTTTCAAACATTAAGGAATAGTTTAATTCTTAAAGAGAGAAAAATCCTTAAATGATAATTACACACTCAGGACCTTATGAGTTTAAAGAGCAGTTAAAAGCAGCCCCACCAACAAACTGAATTTACCAAAGGTTATTCAAAGCAGTACCAACAAAATTTACCTTAATTTTAACCCCAAACTCTCTATTTTATTTGTATATTTTATGCACCTGGAATCCCTTCCATAGCACGAAAGGGGAAAATACATAAATTATGATTTTATTGAATGCTAAAGCCACAAATACATGCAGGGGAGGTTCCCAAGTATAACAAGTGAAGGTTATTATTTCCAGCTTCTAAAAATGTCTAGATATCATGCTGGAAATGCATTTTAAAAGGTACAAAAGCAAATGATAAGATTTACTTACACCACCTCATTTTTAGACAGATTTTTCCCCTTCTAAAATGTTGATATTTATTGTGAGTAGTGGGAAGGAACCCAACTATGGAGTTATTGTCAGCTCCTGTTAAATATCAGCACCTCTGTGATAAGGTAACTGTGCAAGAGTGCACAGGTTGCAGCTAACAGGAGTGAGGGAGGATCCTGTTTGGACATAAAGGTGAATCTTCCTCAGCCTCCCAAAGAAGATGGAAAAAAACAAAATACATTGAGAAACATCTGAGGATAAACAGTTGCATTTGTATTTGTACCGAGGCAGTGCACACCACATGTCAGCCTCAGCTCCCTCTTGGCCAGCAACTCAGGATGAAGTCAGTGGGACCTGTGCCTACACAAGCACAATAGGACCACAATTTTGTTTTCTTAAGCTTTAGCCGTACTAACCATAAGCTAAGTAAGCACAGAAATTGTTACAAACATAGAGCCTGAGGATTCTTAAACAAGACAGCTCATGGGCTGTCAATATCTGCAGGTTTCTGATTCGCTTTTCTGAGTGCCATGTAGTAATTCCCCTTACCTGTCATCTACAGTGCTGTTTACACTAGATTGCTGTAATTGCTTTATATATATTTATATATATATATTTATATATATATATATATTTACCAGTATCCCCTCTCTATCATTAGCTTGATGAGCTAGATTAGCTATTGAGCTAGAATCATCCTCAACTGGGTGTTTAGAAAGCCCCTAATAAAATCCAAATAATGAAGCAAAAGTTTTAGCATTAGTAATATTCAAGGGTCTCTTAAAACAGTGGTTTTATAACATAGTTCTATTTAGAGGTTATGAAGGTTATAAATCTATGAGACTGCCTCCACAAACAAGTCTCTCATCATCTGTATATATTAGCACAGAACAACTGCAAGACCAGACTCAAACAAATGACATTTCCTATTAAAATGCACTCAGTAGAAATATACTGACCTGTGTTTTATTTAAGTTGATATTACATTTGTAATATCAAAAGGTTGAGTTGTTGTTCAGATAAAGAAATATGGGATCAAATCCATCTTTGTTCTGGTATCACTTGGTTTGTTTATACTAATTTTGGAAACCTTTGGCTTTGGGATGAATTTCACTCATGCTTTGCAAAAGTCTATTTTAAAGGGTAATCATAAAAGTACAAACCAAACAAATAAACCTCCAAGCCCCACCCAACAATAACCCAAATATACTAACTATAAATAATGGTTAATCCATGTTTAGTTAAATCCTCTGACACACCAGAACTGAGAACTGTACATGTTTTATTCCTGAACACTTGCAGGTTATGCATGGAGGACACACACATTCTGTACCTCAATACACTAGACACAGACTTGGACTAACATGATAGCACTCTGGAATGCGAAAACATTAAGCTAAATAAGTTTCATTCATTAATAGTCTTAAAAAATGCACAAGTTGCCCTCTAAGATCTTAAATTCATTTGCCAGAGAAACACGTGTACAATACCTTTCAGAACCATGGTCCAATACGTTCATGTCAGCAGGAGAAATTCTGAACTCACTGATTCGGATTCTCTCTTCATAATGAACTTCAACTGAATAGTAGACATACACTTTACCATTGAATTTGAATTTAGGATGGAAGACGATACACAGAAACCCTCTCTCATCTCCTTCCCAAGGTGAGGTAAGCACAGCTTCACTGATGTTCAGAAATGGCTTTTCGAGCCTGGATCCATCAGGGAGGTAGGTCCACACCAGACCAACCTGCTCTGCGATGAAGAACCTGTGGGTGCCATCGTTGGCGTGCACCATCGCAACGGGATTGCGCAGCCCATTGGCGACCTCCACGAGGCAGAGCTGGAGACAGCCCTCTGCGTCAGCAGTGACCAGCCCCAGGTTCTGGTTAAGGTTCTGGTTAGCCAGCAGGTGTGGGAAGCAGTAGTCAGTGTCCTCCAGGGACAGGTAGCGGCAGAACTTTGCCATGTTGTTTTCCAGTGCAATTAACTCTGGGTCTGCAGAGAGAGAGCGAAAAATGGAGCGGCAGTTTTGCCACAGCTGCATGCAATAGTCTTGGCATAGTCCTGGTATCGTCCGCACGGGGGTGGAGGGATCTTCAGCATCATACAAGTGAGCTGCATATGGAGAGCATTCCTAGAGGGAGGGAGAAAAAGCTTCAAGTCATTTCTTGGACCAGATTTGAAACAGCTGAGCAGTGATACTAACTGGAGATATTTCATCTTAATTACAAGATATGTTGTGGTTTATTCTTAAGATATATTAACAGAGGGAAAGATCTTAAAAAGGAGGTTTGTCTCAGCACTCGTGGAAATTATCTTCAATATTCCTGGTGAAAGCCGACTTCCTCAAGCTGTTACTCATTTATTCTAACCACAGAACTTTTTTAAAAAAACTGCAGTGATGCCTATGTTGCTACATCACCGGAGTAGACTGTACTGGGGCAAAAGAGACTTTTCTTCCTTGGCTGCTCTGATTTTATCTATGAAAAAATAAGATCCATCACAGAACAGAAGCAAAACCAAAGAGTTAGCTGAGAAGATTCAGGCCCTGCATTTGCACGCTGACGATAGAATGGGAAAGGCCATCAGGGCCAAAGCCTGGTACATTCATACCTCATCATTTGACAATCCAAGCATGCACCTCAACCATGGATGTGATTTACAGCTTGGAAGGAGTGGGATGTGAAAGTGGAAGAGGAGGGGAGGACACCAACCTTGCTTGGGTCCGGCTGCCTTTGCTGGTGGACCTTTGCCTACAGATATCCCCAGCCAGGAGTGGTGAAAGGCATCTCATGATCATGACATGGGTCACCAAGTTCTGTGAGGTTACAGGATTTCAGACAGTGAGCACAAAATGGACATAATCCAGGCAAGGTCCACTGGCAGCAGAGGCAGCTCAACCCTTGTTTATGGAAGGTGCAGCCTTGGAAATCTGCTTAAGGAATTGGATCAGGTTCGCACAGCTCATTGTAATTTCCACAATGAGAATTCCTACAGACACATTTTCCTTATGAAAAAGCTGCAATCCAGTAAAACTGTTTGTAAATTACAAACTGACCAAAGTGACTCAGTTCTGTTTTGCAAGGGTTCTTGCTTGTAATAATATTTTCCAGTTATAATACATCTTCCCAACAAGCACCTCAAAAGCGCTCTTCAAATAATGCAACATGACTCTGTGGAGGCTCAATTATTTTCAAAGTTATATTTTGATAAATATGTGAGGCAACCAAGGTCGGAAGAGAAACGATTACTTAAATAAATTCTGTATTTTTTAATTCATATCTGGCATTGCTGCTTCTTTTTTTTTTCTAAGCAAAACCAGCTTAATTAAATAAAAAAAAAAAGAGAGCTGTTTCTAGATCTATAGGGAGATATTTCTTTATGCAGATTACAACACTATTCAATAGCTGAAAAGATATAACATCTGAGATTCCGAACTGTTTAAATTAGCTGATAAGCATACACAATATTTAATTTTTATTTTATTTTCCATTACATACCATAATAAACTGAGAGGCCATATAACAGATCATTAGTATACAATAAGCTTTCCTCCTGGAATGTCAAGCCATTCATTGCAAAATGAAGGTTATTATGCTTTCAAATGAGCAGTAATTAATGTGGTAAAAAGAAGATTGCTTGTGACACAAAACGCTGAAATTACACAGGCAGATTGGGTAACACACTCGGCTTGGTTACACGAGGTGTGCCAGGGACAGAAAGAGAGAGAGCATTTGTCAATTCATTTATAATGACTGAAAAATTTGCCTTAAAAAACAAATTGAAATGAGACAGAAAGGGGATTTGATGGGAGGGCTGGGTGGGAGCTCAATCTGTTGTTGCCTATGGAGGTTTCCCATTCAGAGAGGAGGCCCCTCACTTGAGTATTCAGGTGTACCTCATTCTCTGAAAGCCTCTTTCAAAGCAAGCAGTGATCTTATGCATTATAAAACAATTCCCTGGCTTCAGCAACAGAATTAAAAGTAGCTTAGGGAATCCAGAGATATGGATTCCCTGTCTCTGCCATTGCAGGCTGTTCACCACAGCCTCAGATGTGTCTGAAGAGAAGTGGGCAACTCCTTCCCTCCTTACAACGTTCCTGGTGGCATTCAGCTAATTACAGCAGCATTACACTGGCAGTGATATTCAGAGATCTATCTACTTGCCTGAAAGTACCTAAGCATGTCCTAGGATATTTTCAAGACATGTGAAATATTTTCCAAATTTTATTCCAGAAGAGATGGAGCCTCATGCCTTATGCTGAATTTCTCTGCTTCAGAAGCCAATGTTGTGGTCCTTCAGCCTTCACATCATCCTGTCATGTTCACATAACTCAAAATACCAAGCTCTACCCTTAGTCAGAGCTCAGGATCGATATTAGATTGAAATTGTCATTTCCAAATGATGCTGTCTGTTCATTAATTTTAAACTATGTTGTGGTCCAAAGACCGAGGAATAATGGACAGATGATCAGTTACTTCACTAGGGGTGGAACAAGTTTGTACTATGAAAATAACTCATCAGAAAACAAAACAAGCCACATTAAGACAGACTAGCCAAATGCATCCTGTCTGTTCCAGGAACTCAGTGGCAGCTCCTTATCAGGGGAATTCCAACAGTCTGAATCTGATGGAACACCCACATCACACAATGTCTTATTTACTGCTACTATCAGCCTGGAGGAAGCAACAGGACTCCTCAGAAAAGTGTTTAACTTCCACATTATCCCTGGCATTCCTTGACCACTTCCATCTGGAAACTCAAGCCTTTAAGCAAGCTGTTCCCTGAGAAGTGGAGTGAGGCATCTGCTCTTGCAGCTTGGTGGAGAAGAGAAGGCTCCAAGATAACCTTATGGCACCTTTCACAAGAGAACTGGAGAGGGATGTTTTACAAGGCAGTGTAGTGATAGGAAAAGAGGTAATAGCTTTAAACTGAAGGAGGGTCAATATAGATTAGATTTAAGAAAGAAATTGTTTACAATGAGGGTGGTGAAATACTGTAACAGGTTGCCAAGAGAGCTGATAAATGCCCCATCCCTGGAAACATTTGAAGATAGGTTGAGCAACCTGATCTAGTTGAAGCTGTCCCTGTTCATTGCAGGGAAGGTTGGACTAGGTCCTTTCCAAATCAAACTATTCTACTATTCTATGAATTCAAGAAAAGGCAGGAATCCATAAGTTCCACAACTGAGACACTTGTCAAAATAATTTGATCACATTTGAGAGAAATCATGAATTGTGAACAGAAAGAGAGAAATGTGCTAAGTCACAGAAACACACTTATTAATTCAGGTCTAGGATATAAATTGTATATATAATGAATGAATGAATAGAAACAGAATGTTCTAGAGTGTTTGCAATGACTGAACTTCCATGACGTGCTTGTGCAGCCAGAGGCTGTGGTTTGTAGCCACATCTGGGCTGGTCATGCACTGAGCTCATCAGAACATTTCAGTGAATCATTGCTCCCACACTGAAATATTTCTCTGCTTCTGAAGACATTTTCAGTGGCTGGGTTTCTGACAAACACAGGAGACTTAGTTATCACTTCCAGAAGCAGGAGTGGTTAGCACACACTGCTAACTGGTTTCCTATCTGTGAATGGACTCTTAGACACTGCTTGTTTTAGAAATATATTCAGATGTTTTTTGTTTCCAGTACAATGTGAGATGAAATAGAAGTAAATTCTCTAGAACCTGGTGTGGAACAGTGTTATCTTTCTTTTCATGCTTTCAGGTATCCAAGAGGTACCAGCAAAATGCAAAGAGCAGGATTTCTGAAAAGCCATTTTGATCCCATCTGAGCACAGCAGACAAGACTCCACTGTCTGAATTAATTTAAGGTTTACACTTGCACAGTACTGAGCTGCCACTGCTCTGTCTCAGGGGCATTTTCATACATGCAAGGCCTCCATTGATGATAGGGTCAGACACTTTGCTCTGTGCAGACTGTGATTATCCCATTATCATATCTGGCCCCAGAACATCAGCTCTGAGTGGAAATTCCTCCCTGTGCAGGATGGCCACCACAGAGGTTCCACATCCCCAGGCACTACTCTGCACCCATCACCAGGACTATTAGCACCTGGCACATGCTAAAAGTGCTATAATCCAATACAAAAAAAAAACCACCTGACTCCATAAATTGGTCATAACAAGGAGCAAGATTTGTGCAGGCAGCTGCCCTGTAGGTTTCTTCACCAGGTCTGGTGTCCTAACCTTGGGAGGGCGAGGAGAGTCTGCAAACTGTAACTGCCCACGTACCTATCTGAGACTGCTGCTCCTAAACTAAAGGAGAGCAATGTCCCTGTTCCTCTTTTAGACAACTGCCAAAGGACAAAAAGTCCACTGGATACTTGATCATGGACAGTTACTCCTTTCAGTGCCTGGGAACACCAAGCCTACTTTGTTTGCTATCAGTGATGCATCAAAGTGTGGGCTGACGTACTCCTGCCGGCTAATGCCACGGCTGAGGCACCTGTGGGTGGGTACTCCAGTCTGGGCTTGGGAATTCACGTCGTGGCTCACCAAAGTCCCTGTGCCTGGACCAGGATCAATACAAGCACGGGGTCACTGCACCCACGTCTGGGCCAAAGCACCCATACCCGGGCTCGATGGAGCCCCGCATGAGTAGATGCACACACACAGATGCACACACACCCGGGGCCAAAGCACTGCCACGGGGTAGAAGCATCCACGCCTACACCACAGCTCCGTGCAGGGGCTGAATACCCAGGGCGGCTGCAGATGTCCCCTGCGCATCGGAGGAGCCCCGTGCGGCTGAGCCCCGCGGCGGGATGCCCCCGGTGCAGCAGGGAGTCCCGGAGGTCTCACCTGGCACAGCAGGTCCTGCAGGTGCCCGGCGCAGGCGGCGTACGTGCGCTCGTCGAGGCTGGCGCTCAGGCGGTAGAAGCGCTGGAGCAGGGCGCGGTCGCGGCGCGGGTCGCAGCAGCCGAACTCGGCGTAGCGGCGGCAGAAGGCGAGGCCCCGCGGCGGCCGGAACGGCGGCTTGAAGTCCAGGCACTGCGGGTGCGGCCGCGCCGGCCGCGGGGCGAGGGCCGCCGCCAGCAGCAGCGCCAGGGCCGCCCGCGGGCCCCGCATGGCGCTGCCGGGCCGCCGCCGCCGAGGTGGGCACTGCAGGGGCACTGCAGGGGCACCACCGCCGAGGTGGGAGCCGCAGGGGCACCACCGGGCCACCGCCGCCGAGGTGGGCGCTGCCCCCGCCCCGCTGCTCCCGGGCCCGGCCGGCCCCGCCGCGCTCCGCCCGCGGCACCGGGACGCGGGGAGCGGCCGCCCCGAGGGCTCCGGGCCCCGACCGACCGCACCGCGCTCGCAGGGGGTTGGACAGGCGATCTTATCTTGATTCCGCCCAGGGCGCAGCCGGGCAGGTGCTTGGCTGGACAGCCCGAACCGGGTGCCACTCAGCACCAGCGTGGATCGTACTGGGAACTAATTCCTTAGAGCGACTCCTCAAGTGATGTCTGCTCGACTGGGTTCTCTCGCTGAGGATTTTGTTTGACCCAAACACGACAGAATAATAGCCCTCGGAGTTTATGCGGCTGATGGACATGTTTAATAATATTGTTATTATTGTTTAATAACAATAACAAGAAAACTCAACTTCAGTACAGCTAGTGCTTCTGCGTCCTTTGTCAATCTCATCCTGGGCTGAGACTGATTTGATTTAGCTTTGAGGCTGGAAAGAGGAGGCCTGGTGTAGTCTTTACACCGTGTAGCCCTAGGCAGCTCAGGTGACATGCTTTGCTCTGTGAAGCACCCAGAATGGTGCTCCCTTGCCCAAATAAATAAAATAAAACTGGCAAGGACACTTTCCTTACCCTAAAATTCCTCATGGCTCTCCCCAGGAAAATAGTTACTACACATACACATCATATAGCCATATCATATGTGGTGTTACCAGCTAGTAAGATCTAGTCCCATGCAGATGGCACTTTTTTGCTGTCAAACACAGCTAGCCAAAGTGTATTGTGTATTTTAATATTAACATGCTGACTGCCCCTCAAAGACAAAGAATGCAGTTCATGCTGATATGCTATTTCTGACTCCTACTTTGAGACCAAAGAACTACTGTACAGTGCATGTGGACTATAAAATTACTGCGTGGCTAGGAACATCCTGTCAGGAGACCATATGTGTTACACATTTAATACGAGTTTATATCTTCTCTCCATATGCTTATGTAACTGCTGTTAAGGTCACTCAAAACTCTCCAAATGTGCAGGCAACAAGAATACCTGATGATCTCACTTGAAAATTCTCTGCCCTTTTCTTTTTGGTCACTTAAAACAACTTTTTTCACCTTCGCAAGCACTTTGGAAAGCACATGATCAAATTACTGCCCCTGAAAAGTTTGTGAGCCATGCAAAAAATGAGTATGCAGTTATGCAACTCCATGTTGTATAAAAAACCTGATGTAAAGACATCTCCATCTTCATCCTGGCTAATCTTTTATTCCTATGGTTAACACAGTGTTTATAATGATTATTAGACACTGTTAATTAACACTGAAACAATGCTTAATATATAAAGAATGGATTGCAGTAGCCAAACATATTCCGGATAATGAGATTTATCCTATAGCTTCTTGATTTGCTTTTTGGAATTCTTGATTAGTTTGGTATCCATGAAACATTTCAGAAATGAAAAGAAAATTAAATGCTGTGAGTTGTAGAACAAGAACTAGAGATTTGGTCAGCTCATCACTGCGAAACAGCATAAAATACCTTTTGGAAGTCCTCTGTGTGCATTTACAGTCCACCCCCCCATGCCCGAGCTACCACTGTTTTTCTTTTTCAGATAGGGCAATTTTTTGGTTACCCCTCAGGCCGGGGACTGCACAGCAATTCACAGGCAAGGCACTGCTGAAGAGGAGACTGGAGCTGCCTTGGCTCATTAACGAGATCATTCAGTTAGAGATGGCTTATTTTACAGCTTGCTGTGAGCTGAGTTTTTAGGTTTCCCAGGCCACAGGTAGGAGCTCATGGGCTGCATTTGAGGGATCTGTGGTGTGGTGGATAGAGCACACAGCTCTGGCTTTTCTCCCCAGCTCTGCCTGGAGACTCACTATTCCCAAGACGCTGTGTTTCTGCCTGGATTCTCCCATTCATAAATTGAGGGCAGTCAATGCTCATCCACCCCATGGCAATCTCTCAAGATGTAGTTTATTGATATTTTTAATCACCTTTTTTTCTATTTTTATGAGCTCTCTGCTGAGCCATCGCTAGAGACCAAACTCAGAAGGGGAACTGTTATCCTTGACCTGACATGCTAAATTTGAAATCGCCCTTGTTCCTACCCGAGGGCAATAACATACATCTGTGTAGCAGCAACAGAATGGGGATGAAGTTTGATTTAAGCAGTATTCTCCAAGATCATATGGTAGTTTGAGAATATGGTACTCAGAAGGTTTTGTATTAAAATGACTCTTTAATTCGGTAAATTTGAACACTCATTCTTGTGCCTAATGGCCTGAACCAATCAATTGAATATTTTGTGCTGCATATCAACTGTTGGAAACAAGTACTTTTTTTTTAGTTTATTTTTGTTGGCTTTTTAATTTATATTTTTTGTTAAGATACTGGATTGCTCCTATTCCCACTGAAGTTCAATGACGTTCTTCACTTTAATTAATTCCCCAAATTAGAATTTTTATTTATGGATTAAATTGAAGAAGCCAGGTGTGAAAATGCAGTATTTGCTTGCAAACAACACAGCATTAAGGCACAAAAAACCTACATTTAAAAAATGTTGTTTGTTTTGGGGTATAAAACCTGGAATCTTTAGTGACCGTTGAAACAACTGATAGCTGTAGATACCCTGTAGCTCAAAAATACTTCTTTATGTACCTCAAACTGAGCTCCTTGAATGTGCAACATCCAGATTTTTTCACTCTTTCTGCATACATCAGAATTTGTTAGTGTTCATGGGACTGTGGGCATGAAGAAGTGAATGTGGACACATTGATTTAAAACATAAACAAATTTCATTTGATCAAATGACCAATATTAGACCCCGTGTCTGTAAGTCCATCCTTAAGGGGAGCTTAATGCTCTGAGCTTCAATAACCAAAGGACACACTGCTCATGCCCAAGTCAGCTGTGAACACCACCCCTAAAAACTTAACAGTCAGGAATTAAATATAGGGCTATAGCTCTTCTCAAAGGAAATCAGGCTTTGCTTCGTCTGCGCTCATCTGATCACAAAACCCTTCTGATCCTCATCTGTCTTCTCAGTGGTTTTTTTTCCTACTGGTGGAGGTACTGAGGACAGATTATTATGAGAACAAGCTAAAGGGAAATGTGTGTGTGCCTGTACACACAAACCCACAATGTGAGTGAGGTAACACGTGCATGGAACAGAACCCATGCTAGGCAGTCTGTGATCCACTGGCATGGAGACTGCTCATTCTCACAGCTCTTGCTATCCTACAAAACCAATTGAAAAAATATATCAAACCTTAGGAAAGATGAAAGAATGGTTTTATAGCACAGTCAAAAGCAAACAGGTATCTTCTATTCAAGGTGATTTTCCAGGGAACATGAGTAGCTGAAGTCACACTGGCTGTGACAAGCCTACCAATACATTTTGGTACTGAGGAAGGGTTTAATGCAAGAAACCTGGGGAGCCAACCCCATGCAGGCTGCATCGTGTGCTATATGGGGAAATACTGTCAGAGGAGTCGATAAGCGGAAATCCTGCTGTGTCCTGACATGCTGGGATGACTCAGATGTGGAATGAAACAAACTGCTGCAACATCAAAGACCTAATTTCTCCTTCTAATGCAGCCACGCGAGTCCATCACATCCTTTAATCGTGCTGTGATGAAGCACCTTCAGCAGTACCCTTTGGTGCACATTTCTGGGCTCTGTGTCATGTGTCATGGCAGATTTTTGTACAAAGCAGTGGGGCAACCCTGCAGAGGATGTAAATCAGCAGAGCTCAACCATAGTGTATAAATATCCAGGATTCCCATGCAGGTGTCCCATTGCTAAATGCTTTTCCTGTCCTTCTTATGCTCATTTTATGCACAGGCAGGATGCAAACAGCACAATTTTACAGCGCTCAGATAATTGCTTTTTTTGCTCTCAACTTGCTACCATAGAAATTCTAATGTCAGAGCCCTCAAGAGACCATATGGGCAGTAAACATTCCTTATGTGTTGCATGTGCAGAAAGAACATATTTTCTTATCAATTCACACAAAAGCAGATCATGCAGAAATGATTTTTAAAAATTACTACTATTTTCCCTGCGGTAACAGCAATAGAACAATAAGTAACAACCCCTGAATGGGTTTTCTCTGTTTTACAGTACATGGATCTTTCTGCCTTTTTCATCACAAGAGAAATAAAGACATTAAAATGTATGCTTCTTTTCAGAAAGCATTTTATTGATTTTATGTAACATCTGAATACATTGTGTTGTAACTTAACATATAACCATATAATTTGTCTGTAACAAGAAATAGACCAAAGACTTGCTCAGTGAATTGTACAAATGAGCCTTTCCTCATCAGTGATCCAAGGCATAATAAAATACCCAGCTTTTTCATTTCCCTCTGTGAGGTGAAAAAGCTCACTTACAGAAGCTAGTATATTCCACCGAAAGAAAAGGTGATTAATCATAGCTTGAGCTCATACTCAAAAGCAAAAATCCCATTTGGATCCAGGCCTTTGTCCCAGGATCATTCAGTTCCATCTCTAGTTTGGAGAGAATAAGGGTTTTTTTTTGATTAAGAACCACAAAAATGTTACTTTGTTAAAAGAAAGCTAGCAGCAGCCAATGCTGCTATTACACCACCCTTGCTGAAGGACAAAAAGCTAATAAACAGGTTGTTCAGATATTTTCTAAGAGTTGAAAATACGAGTCATAACCAATAAAAGGCAGCTGAAACTTGAAAGAGTCTTCCCCAAAGTAATCAGGTCATGAAGCAAAGAATGGATGCTGATCTAAACCCAGAAATATTACAAATTTAGTATTTCTGAAATATTTCTGAGAAATGAGGTGTATAACACTGACAGCTCAACCAAGCCCTCAGACATGTATTTCATAAAAAACATACCTAAGGGTCAAACAAATTTT